CTTGTGTGTTGGGGTGAGCTAAACTTTGTAACTTGTATGTTGGGGTGAGCTAAACTTTGTAACTTGTGTTTGGGGTGAGCTAAACTTTGTAACTTGTGTGTTAGGGTGAGCTAAACTTTGTAACTTGTGTGTTGGGGTGAGCTAAACTTTGTAACTTGTGTGTTGGGGTAAGCTAAACTTTGTAACTTGTGTGTTGGGGTAAGCTAAACTTTGTAACTTGTGTGTTGGGGTAAGCTAAACTTTGTAACTTGTGTGTTGGGGTGAGCTAAACTTTGTAACTTGTGTGTTGGGGTAAGCTAAACTTTGTAACTTGTGTGTTGGGGTAAGCTAAACTTTGTAACTTGTGTGTTGGGGTGAGCTAAACTTTGTAACTTGTGTGTTGGGGTGAGCTAAACTTTGTAACTTGTGTGTTGGGGTGAGCTAAACTTTGTAACTTGTGTGTTGGGGTGAGCTAAACTTTGTAACTTGTGTGTTGGGGTGAGCTATGACAAAGAACAAGGAAGTGGTGTTGTAAACAAAAGAAACCATTGGGAAGAAGAAAACAAAATCAGCTGTCAGCTACAGAGGTAAACAAACGTTTTATGTACAACATTCTTCACATCAACACAAGGGACACCAGTTAAAGCTGACAAAGTATCTCAAGATGTACGGATGCCCTCTCAGTCTACACTAATTTTCATTAAAGCTAGGAAGTAGATTATTGAATTATAATAGCTGATTCAAAACAGACTAAAATCAATATTTCAACTAATTATCATTTAGATTAAGACATTTCACATCCCATCTCTTATGAGGTTGTTTATTCAATGGATGATATAATAAATTAGTTCTATACATTGATTCACATGTCTGAGTAATATTTTAAAATTTACATTAAAAAATGACATATCAAAGCCTATGCCAGCTAAATTTCCAATTTAAATCAATGCTAAACAAATATTGGTCAACCATAATTTTTAAAGCCATAATAAAACTGGGTTATTTTGCGTTGCACTGATTTTAACTATATTTTGTTTACAATAGTCTCCCTTATTTCATACAACAATGTTTGATAAATACAAGGGGAGAGAAACATGTTTAACAATATTCAAAGTTGAATGTAAAATACATTTAAGAACCAGAGTGATCTTAATTTAGCTAAAACACTGACACAGGGTGTTGAAGAATATTTACACAGAGAAGAACAAACAAAAAAAAAACATGTTCATGAAAGACAATAAACATTTTATCTTCAAATTAACAACTCACCAGATTTTCAACAGGTGCTCTACGTCTATATTCTATAAAAAATTAAAGAGACTAGAAACTTCTATTTCTTTACTAGAACAGATCATGAGCTGAATTTTAAATATATCGAATTATTTACGGTTTGCTAAATTACAAAATAATTTGTTATAATAATAATATAAATTCATTGTGTAATATAATTGTTTTATATTTTAAAATACTAGTTTCAAATGTAAATAGATAAATGCATTTTCATACATACAATTTATATACATATATATTTATAAATATGTTGAAGTGAAAGAGGCAATAAATTATAAAACTTGGACAAGATTGGTGAAATAGAATATAGGTTCCAAGCCCTAAATTTAAAGAAGGGGGGGGGGGAAGGATAGTTTTAAAACTATGGAATACAAAGTAACTATGTACAAAAGAATTGAGTTGTTTAGCTGGAGTCATGTCAGACTATAGTCAATTAGTACAATTATTAATTAACTTAATTTGATGAGCAGAATGGTTTATCAAAATCATTAATATGAAAAGAAAATGATGTAATCTTAATATAAAATTGTTGAGATTGTTTATAAGTGTTTTTTTTTTAAACACAACAGAAAATAAGTTAACTAAAAGTATGAGGTTATGAAAAAAAAAACTGAGATTTTTTTGTTACTTTCCCCGAATTCCCTTCTATCTAGTAAAGGAATGCTAAAAATCTGAGGCGATATCTTTCATGATGCCCTATATACTGCTTCAACATTCAACAAAAATATTATCCTCCAGAAGTCAACTGCGCAAATAGTTAGACACCTACCCAAAAGTGTTACCTGTCACACCAGACAATGTCACACAACCCGCCTGCAGAAAGATTTGTGAGGACTAGAAGGGTTGGACAGAATAAAGCAACCACTAGTACAGAATCATACAGATCATATTGTAGTACCACAGAAGGAGCAGCTCAACACATCAAGCTGAATTGTTTACAGTTCAGGATGTTGTCCATTTAAAAAATTATCTCTGTTTATTTTAAGGAAGAAAAATTCAGCTTGGTGCATTGTTTTAGTTTTCATTCAGAAATGAATTATAAATTAAGTATTAAAGGGGGATAAATGGAAGGCTATATTTTATTTTTAAAAATCCAACATCAAAGAACAACCATATCAACTCCCGCATTCAACCAATTGAAACCTAAGACAGTCCATGCTGCTTGTGAGGTATGGAGGTACAAATCTACCAAACAAATCAAGGGACTGAAATTATAACTTTAACACTATTTTTTTCTAAACCTAGTTTGAAATATTGCTTGACACATTCTTTTCAATAATTCTATTAGATCAAAAACTATTTTTAGTTTAAATCCAATCTGCAGTACATATATACATAAGCTATTATACCATATTGACAAATATACATCACTCTGTACAGAAGTAAGCATCAATTACCTTGTATTACATTATTTACAATGTTTCATCACTGTTTTACAACAGATATTGACATAAAATGATGGAGATGGACAGGCTTAATTAGCCCAAATTAGCAACAAAAAAATCTATAAATGTTGAGTTAACAATGGTACAGAGATACAAAGTTAAACAGATACTTGACTTGTAAGTGAATTAAATAAAGAAAAGGACAATGTGGGGGACTGGATACATCAGACACAACACATAAATAATGAGCCATTGAGCAAAAAATTGGCATACAATACTTAAACATGAGGTGGCAGAAATAATGCCAGGTGCTAACCAGTGCTGGCACCACCACTGGCACCACCACTGACCAGCACTGGCACCACCACTGACCAGCACTGGCACCACCACTGACCAGCACTGGCACCACCACTGACCAGCACTGGCACCACCACTGACCAGCACTGGCACCACCACTGACCAGGGCCAACACTGCCACTGACCAGCGCCAACACTGGCACCACCACTGACCAACACTGGCACCAACACTGGCACCACTGACCAACACTGGCACCAACACTGACCAGCACTGGCACCACCACTGACCAGCACTGGCACCACCACTGACCAGCGCTGGCACCACTGACCAACACTGGCACCAACACTGGCACCACTGACCAACACTGGCACCAACACTGACCAGCACTGGCACCAACACTGACCAGCACTGGCACCAAAACTGACCAGCACTGGCACCAACACTGACCAACACTGGCACCAACACTGACCAGCACTGGCACCACCACTGACCAGCACTGGCACCAACACTGACCAGCGCTGGCACCACAGACCAACACTGGCACCAACACTGGCACCACCACTGGCACCAAAACTGACCAGCGCTGGCACCAACACTGACCAACACTGGCACCAACACTGACCAGCACTGGCGCCAACACTGACCAGCACTGGCGCCAACCTTGACCAGCACTGGCGCCAACACTGACCAGCACTGGCGCCAACACTGACCAGCGCTGGCACCAACACTGACCAGTGCTGGCACCAACACTGACCAGCGCTGGCACCAACACTGACCAGCGCTGGCACCACCACTGACCAGAGCTGACTAGCAACAACACTGCCACTGACCAGCATTGGCACCACCACTGACCAACAATCGTACCAAAAATGACCAAAGATGGCCACAACACTGACCAGCACTGGCACCATCACTGAACAACAATAGCAACGCCACCAACAGCAATGGCACCATCACTAATGAAACAACCGTACAAAAACAAACTAAACCATGCACCTAGATTACACCACAACTAGTTGACACAGGAAAATGTTCAGTTCATGATTATCACATTGAGAAGTGGCTTTATATATATACACATGTACCTGAGCTCAACAAAGCTCTGGCTGAATAAAAATAACAGGGAATGGAGAGGAGACAAAGATCTGGAGGTCAAAACACTTAGTTTTTAGGACTGAAAGACACATTTAGTGTACTGTAAATTCTGTTACAAACGGTACAAAAGCTAAGAAAGCAACAACTGCTAGCACAGTTTTAGAAATTTGGCAATACGGCTACACTGGTTAAACAAAATATTGGCTACAGCACCAACTACCATCAACAAGGCAAAACTACGGACAGCCGGGCAGAAAAAAAATATAATCACATGCCCTTTTCATAAAAACAGATCTATTTTTAGTAACTTACACTAGCTTTACATATTTACAAAGAAAATGATTCTTCACCATTTAAAAAAAAAAAAAATCGCTAAAAACTTTTGGCAATAATCACAGCTCTTGACATATATAATAATATAAAATAAAAACTTCCTTCTTTAAACAACAAGGAGAGCATACATCTTCAATAGCAGAACCAATGAGAATTTGGATGGTTAATAACAGCATTCAGATTTTTAAATCTTTCACACCAGTCAGCAACAATATTCATATAATATGAAGCCATCTAGATGGAAGTGACATCAAATCTCAACTTACAACGCTAATACATTGAAAAAAAATATATTAAAAATTTGGAATGATGAAATTTTTTTTTAAAAGAAACTATTCGTTATTTTTCACATTTTTGTGACCAAACTGCACAAAATCTGTGAAGACCACACTCTACTTTGACAACGCTGGTGTGAAATGACAGAATTTCATTACTCCATTTTGACAGCGCTGGTGTGAAATGAAGTTCCATTACTCCATTTTGACAGTACTGCACATTTTGACAGCACTGGCGTGAAATGAAGTTTCATTACTCCATTTTGACAGCACTGGCGTGAAATGAAGTTCCATTACTTCATTTTGACAGCACTGGCGTGAAATGAAGTTCCATTACTCCATTTTAACAGCACTGGCGTGAAATAAAGTTCCATTACTCCATTTTGACAGCACTGGAGTTGTCCCCAGTGTCCAGTTGACCGTGGCTGGCCACCATGTCCTTGACCAGAGCTTCCACATCTTTCTCCAGGTTCACGTCACCATCCCTGCGCACCTGGCTAGACACACCATCCCTGCGCACCTGGCTAGACGCACCAGGTGAGAGCGCCACCTGGTCCTCTGTTGCCTCCTCACCTGTACCATGCCCGCCCAGGGCACTGCCCTCACATTCTGTGTTGCCCTCAGCATCTGTTGGTTGGGTCTCGTCTGGGCACTGTGAGCTGGTTTCTGGGGGAGGGGGGGAGCTGCCACAGGTTGAAAAAAAAAATTATATGTAATCACAGATTCTTTAAATTGTCTTGAAAGGCATAATTGTACAACTAAAATGAGCTAGAATTGTTTAAACAAATATTTTGTACCAAAATGTAAAAAAAATTGCTTTTAAAAATCTGATATAGCTTTATGCAGGCAATATTTTAAAATATATAATTGTAATAAATAATCTATTTATTATTTGATATAAAACTCGCACTTTAAAAAACAGTAATGTATATGAACATAAAATGCAAATTTGATACAATGAAATAATAAATATAATATTCCAAATATTATCTCATCATAAGTTGTTAATGTATGAAATGAATTTTAATAAGCGTAAAAAGTAAACAAAGCCAAAGGGAAGCAACTGCCACCAAAATATCCTCGTAAACTTTCTTCTCACTAGCCAACACCAACAAAATGTCCTAGTCTAGCTTGATTGAACATGTTAAGTTAAATTTTTTAGTTTACAACATTTTATTAAATTTTTCTATAAATTATTTATTCAAATTAACTCTATGAATGCAAATAATGAGGTGTAATTCAAGATTAAAGAAAGTTTAATGTGCAGGTTCAAATAAGCTGGCCAATACATCAAGCAACTGTCTAGTCTACCAACTATTAGAGTCCCATTATGTATGAATAGCTATTTACTGAGCTTAAGAAAAAAAAGATTTTAAGCAAAAGTGTTTGGCTGATGACTAAATAAGAGAAAAATAAGAAGCGTCAAACAGAAGAAATAATGTCAGCAAACTTGAGTTGTTACACTACATTTGTAAGATAAAACATCCAGTCAAGCATACATGGATGTAAGCAGAAGCTGGTACCTCATGCCTTATACAGGAAGTCTTCACTGGGCTTTGGTAAACTGACTCGGCTACATGATGAAATAAATACTCACACATTACAGTGGTGGTGGTGGGGTTTCAAGAGATAAATACATTCAGTTACACATCTCACACTAACATTTGAAACTACATTAAGGTACAACTAATATTTCTCTCTGATTTGTAGCACCATACTGTTTTTTGAAGAGATTTTTAATCAATAGAGTAAACATTTTAGTCCCAGAGGTAATATGTACTGACTTGGATGATCAAAACTTCATTTAGGTGCAAGTAAAAAAGGCTTTCTATAGGAGATGATTTATCCTTCAGCTAAAGTTGGGACAAAGGTTATAGACATTTAACGACGCTGTGTCCGATAAAATTTTCTCTATTTAATTCGTTGTTTTTCAGAATCCAAGTTTTTAATCGTAAATCTAGGTCATGATAATGCTAGAGTTGCGATTTTTTGTTGTGTTTACTTCATGTTGTTTTCTTGTTAGGTTGATTTAGTATTTTATAAAACAGCATTTTTTTAACACTGCGGAAAGCCGTTAAGCAAACCGTATCTTAAAATTTACGTAGCCGCATTATAAAATTAACTGAAGTTAAAGTATTCATGCTAAGACTAATCTGATCCAGACATGACTTTTTTTTATACCAAACTTTAAATCTTTGATGGTAAACTACCAACATTGAAACATCTCATTCCAAAACACAGTATGGAAAATCACAATGGTAAACCAGTAGGACCAGAGGCAATCAAACACTATTAATAAGAAACACTGATATCACTAACTAAACGGGAAGCTCTCAAAGACTATCAAAGTACAACACTGAAGTTACACAATATCAAACACTGAAGTTATACAAGATCAAACACTGATGTTATACAACAATAAACACTGATGTTATACAACATCAAATACTGATGTTATACAATATCAAATACTGAAGTTATACAATATCAAATACTGATGTTATACAGCATCAAATACTGATGTTATACAACATCAAATACTGTTGACATCAAACACTGATGACATCAAACAATGATGCTACACAGCATCAAACACTGATGTAACTACTGATGTTACGAATGACAACACTTTACACTTATCAAACAATAAATCAAAAACTTTCTTCTTAAAACTTCAAGGGTGCATTTAACAATTTAAGTGAACGATGGTTCCATGACAAAGTAAAAAAAATTCATGGGATGATTTGTTGACAACAATACGAAATAAAGAAAAAAATACTGACATAAGATATGACAGTGAATCTCCACAAGAAACATCAGAAAAAAAATACTGACATAACAATGAGAGACCTGACAGGTAATCTGGACAAGAAACACGAGTACCACTGTTACCTACCCTTACTACCTGAATGAGCTGATACAGCTCTCTGTGTGAGCATGCAGGATTAAAGCAAACATTTGATGCCAGTTTGTGACAGGAGTTAACCCTTTTTATTTCAGTCAATATGTACACACTGCAGGTACATTGTTTTACTGGACATTCTAGCTCTCATCATTTACACAACTTTCAGCTCCTTGTGTTAGGGTGCGGGTTATGTTTTTTTTTTTAATCTTATACAATAGTTGTATGATTGTTAAATAATTTAAACATTGGACTGCATTTAAAGTTGAGATGATGCATGTAAAAAGTTATGACATAAAACAAATGTTTGTGAAATGGGTTTTAAAGCAAAAGCAATTAGTTCCCTTACAAGCTACAAGGCTCAGTTAGTTCCCCTTGTGAAATCCATTAGCATCCATGCAAGCATCAAACTCATGCTGATATTGTCTTAAGATAGCACCTGCAGTCTTAGACTCAATAGCGTCAAGATTTTAAGGAAAAAAGTTCCCTTGTTCGAATCTTTAGTCAGGAACTAGAGCATATCTTACCTGTCAGGTGCCTCACCCGATGGCTGAGCACTTCCTTCTTTACCGTCCAGAGATCGACGTTGGTAATGGGACCTTAACAAAAGAAAACATGAGACCAGATGTAATGGGACCTTGTTGGATTAAAGAGAAGATTAATGGGACCTTAACAAAAGAAAACATGAGACCAGATGTAATAGGACCTTGTTGGATTAAAGAGAAGATTAATGGGACCTTAACAAAAGAAAACATGAGACCAGATGTAATAGGACCTTGTTGGATTAAAGAGAAGATGGTAATGGGACTTTGACAAAAGAAAACATGAGACCAAATGTAATGGGACCTTGTTGGATTAAAGAGAAGATTAATGGGACTTTGACAAAAGAAAACATGAGACCAAATGTAATGGGACCCACATACCTAAACCTTTGCTGGATGATGACAGACTGGTTCCTTCCTTTCTTCAACCTCTCAGATTCCCTCCGTGTGGTTGCTCCACTATCCCCCCGCTTCTTGCGCTTGGCGTAGTAGCTTCTAAACTGGTTTTGGATGAGGACTGCAGCATGGCTCATTTTCTTGTAGTAGGCATACTGTTTAACATATTAGCATTAGACTAGGTCATGTTTGTAGTAGGCATACTGTTAAACATACTGGCATTAGACTAGGTCAAGTTTGTAGTGGGTGTTACATTATACTTGCATTAGACTAGGTCATGTTTGTAGTAGGTGTTGCATTATACTTGCATTAGGATAGGTTATGTTTGTAGTAGGTGTTGCATTATACTTGCATTAGGATAGGTTATGTTGGTAGTAGGTGTTACATTATACTTGCATTAGACTAGGTTATGTTTGTAGTAGGTGTTACATTATACTTGCATTAGACTAGGTTATGTTTGTAGTAGGTGTTACTTTATTCTTGCAGGAGACAAGAGCAGAACATTTTTTAGTCTTACAAAAATTCTAATTGTGCGAGGCTTTATATTCCTCATACTGAACACCCTATCCTAATATATAAAAGTCCATGTGCGCACTTCTCTCTCTCTGTCTCTCTCTCTCCGCAAAATATTTTCGCAGGGTATCACATCAGAATCTATAACGATATATGGAGAACTTGATACGGACTTTTGTTGAAAATAATATGGTAGATGTTTTAAAGGTATAACCAACATTTTTTTTAAAGAAGAAAAATAAAAAATAAAGGCATATTCGAATGTAGAAAAACAGTTTTAATTATGCAACAGGAAAAGTGTTTATAGTTGTGAAAAAGAACCCATGAAACAATGACGTCACTAATGTTTATACATTAACTAATGACGTCATCTGCCGAGTTTAGAATAAAAAGAAATAAACTATTTCATTCAAATTTGATTTAGATCTACGTACGCTATGAAATGTATACAATACAATTTTTCCGACCTAAACTTATAAAATTTATTTTACCTATTTAGATTCTAGATCTAGACCTAAATCTACGCAAAAACTAGACCTATACGCTAAGTCGCTACGATCTAGATTGAGACTATCTACTCTAGAATCTATTCCAAAAATAAATTTGATTTAGAGCTAGATCTATAGATCTACTCATCAAGATGTACGATATGAAATATATACAATTTTATCGGTCAAACTAATACAAATTACTTAAAAAACAACATAATGACCATTGAATAGCCAGATTTTTAACGCAAACATTTAAGTCACTTAATCAGTGTGTGCCTTTGTTATGTTAAATGTGTCGGATTTAGTTATTTCTTTGCTTTGTCACTAATATCGTTCAGCGTGTAGTAGAGCACATTGCGTTTTGACCAATAACTATTTCATAAATAATTGTTCTCAAACAAATACAACATTTTAAAATATATAGGCCTATAATTCACGTGAAACGGGTACCGATGGCTAGTATAATAATAGTCTACTTTGCCTAACTGTAACATTATTAGTGTTTAGTTAGCTTATTTTAAGGAAGTAAGATAAAGCCATAATTATACATTAATATCAATTACTCATACTGTATGGAACAAATAAAAAATGTATTCAAATTGATGCTTTCTCACCAAACAATAACGTTTTCACTATATTCAAGTAGAACCTGAAGTTGTCAAGTGCTATGTTGAGTTACAGTTTTAAATAGAACCTGATGTTGTGCTATGTTGAGTTACTCACGGTTTTAAGTAGAACCTGATGTTGTGCTATGTTGAGTTACTGACAGTTTTAAGTAGAACCTGATGTTGTGCTATGTTGAGTTACTGACAGTTTTAAGTAGAACCTGATGTTGTGCTATGTTGAGTTACTCACAGTTTTAAGTAGAACCTGATGTTGTGCTATGTTGAGTTACTCACAGTTTTAAGTAGAACCTGATGTTGTGCTATGTTGAGTTACTCACAGTTTTAAGTAGAACCTGATGTTGTGCTATGTTGAGTTACTCACAGTTTTAAGTAGAACCTGATGTTGTGCTATGTTGAGTTACTCACCGTTTTATATCTTCTGTAGTAGCTCTGGATCAAGATGGCAGCCTCAATCTCCTTCTGATGCTGTAGTTGTTGCTGCTGTTGCTGCTGCTTGTCTCTGTAATGTCTGTAAGCGTTCTGGATCACTTTGGCTGCTTCATACAGCTTTCTCTGCTCTTGGTCTGTTCACAGGAGTTGTACACACATTTAAACAGGCATCTACTAGCATTGCTTGTGGTATCCACACATCCAACACACACATTTCAACAGGCATCTACTAGCACTGCTTGTGGTAGCCACACTTCACACACACACATTTAAACAGTCATCTACTAGCACTGCTTGTGGTAGCCACACAACCCACACACACATTTCAACAGTCATCTACTAGCACTGCTTGTGGTATCCACACTTACCACACACACACATTTAAACAGTCAGCTACTAGCACTGCTTGTGGTAGCCACACAACCCACACACACATTTAAACAGGCACCTACTAGCACTGCTTGTGGAAGCCACACAACCCACACACACAGGCATCTACTAGCACTGCTTGTGGTAGCCACACTTACCACACACACATTTCAACAGCCATCTACTAGCACTGCTTGTGGTAGCCACACAACCCACACACACATTTCAACAGGCATCTACTAGCCTTTTGGTAGCCACACTTCCCACACACACATTTAAACAGTCAGCTAGTAGCACTGCTTGTGGTAGCCACACTTCCCACACACACATTTAAACTGTCATCCACTAGCACTGCTTGTGGTATCCACACTTACTACACACACATTTAAACAGTCATCTAGTAGCACTGCTTGTGATAGCCACACAACCCACATACATATTTTGAACTGCCACCTATTAGCATTCAAAGTTAGTAAAGAATGAGGACAAAATATAGCAGAATAAAACAGTAAAATTGAGCTAAAACCAAACTGTTTTAGTATCAATTGTTTGACACTACATTAATACCAGAGGGTAGTCTACTCCACCTACAACTATGCAGGGTCTGTATTGATCCACCATCATTAGCATACAGAAAGCTGTTTGAACATACCAGAGAGAGTGATTCATCCACCATCATTAGCATACAGAAAGCTGTTTGAACCTACCAGAGAGAGTGAGCTGGGAAAAGTCCTTCTCCATGTACGTGGTGGGAGCATTGAAGTATTCCGTGAACTCTGCCGTGGTGGGAGGTGGGGAGTCCAGGGTGAAACTGTACGGGCTGTACGGGCTGGGCAGGCAGGTCGAGTCTGGGCTTAGGCTGGATGCTGGGGTACCAAACTCTGGGTACCTGCACACAAGCAACACAGTATTTAACATGACATCAGGTGTAGCACACACTTGCCAATACAGGTGTACCAAACTCTGGGTACCTGCACACAAGCAACACAGTATTTAACATTACATCAGGTGTAGCATACACCTGCCTATACAGGTGTGACACCTGCCAATACAGGTGTACCAAACTCTGGATACCTGCACACAATCAATACAGAATTTAACATTATATCAGGTGTAACACACACCTGCCAATACAGGTGTGACACCTGCCAATACAGGGGTACCAAACTCTGGGTACCTGCACACAAGCAACACAGTATTTAACATGACAGCAGGTGTAGCACACACCTGACAATACAGGTGTACCAAACTCTGGGTACCTGCACACAAGCAACACAGTATTTAACATTACATCAGGAGTAAGTTACCTGCCAATACAGGTGTCACACCTACCAATACAGGTGTAATAAACATCTGCAACTACAGGTATAACAGACACCAGCCAATACAGGTGTTCCGAATTGCTGACAGAACAACAGTACAATTGAATGCTAACACCCTGAAAACAATTATTACAACAAAACACCCTGAAAACAATTATTACAATAATTGTCTATATGGGTGTACAATCTAATGCTAACACCCTGAAAAAAATGATTACAATACCTGTCTATACAAGTGTACAATTAAATGCTAACATCCTGTAAAGAGTTATTACAATACCTGCCTATACAGGTGTGCAATCTACTGCTAACCCCATGTAACGAGTGCTTACAATACCTGTACTCCTCAAAGGCCAGACTGTCAGTCATGGGTGTTGATATCCCTGAATCATCCCCAAAAGATGATGGCCTGGGTGAGCCTTGTGAGGGGAGAGAACTGTGAGACTCACTTCTGCCCCTGCCACTAGAACAGTCATCCACATCATCTCCCTTGGGTGGGGAAAGCTTGATCCTCTCAGGGATGGCAGCAATAATCTGGTTGGCTAGTGTCACCATTTGATGCTTGGATCCATCTGGTGATACACTTTAACTTAAATACTGCATTCACATTTATTTCAAGTAAACAAGTCTACCATTTGATGCTTGGACGCTTACACAAACAAGTTAAATGCTGCATTCACATTTATTTCAAGTAAACAAGTCTACCATTTGATGCTTGGACCCATCTGGTCACACAAACAAGTTTAATGCTGCATTCACATTTATTTCAAGTAAACAAGTCTACCATTTGATGCTTGGACCCATCTGGTCACACAAACAAGTTTAATGCTGCATTCACATTTATTTCAAGTAAACAAGTCTACCATTTGATGCTTGGACCCATCTGGTCACACAAACAAGTTAAATGCTGCATTCACATTTATTTCAAGTAAACAAGTCTACCATTTGATAATTTTACTTTAATCAATAAGCATATTATGCGTGTGCAAGGTTGGTAACCTTTAAGGCTGCTACCCCCTTCCCCCCCCCCCCCCCCCCCCCCATCACATTCTACCTTTTAAGACTCAAAAGCTGTGTTGGGTTCAATTTTTTGCCAACCATAGATGGGTACCTAACTCACATTAGGGAAAATAAAGGAGGTTGGGCATAGTGCTGACCACACTATCTCTTCATATGCTGAGGTCACAGAAACAAGTGAACTCTACTTCACTTGTCCTATAGACGGTCAGGTTTGAAAGGGAACTTTAATAGATGAGTAAAACTAACTTACCTTTATTGGCCTCCACTTCATCATCTGAAGAAAGTCTTTCAACATCTATAATTGGGCTTCCACCTCTTACAGACACCACCTCATCTGCATAAACAGGTAAATATATGTAGATTCATTCATAAGACATGTATTCAATCCACCATAAACAGGTAAATATTTGTAGATTCATTCATAAGACATGTATTCAATCCATCATAAACAGGTAAATATTTGTAGAGTCATTCATAAGACATGTATTAAATCCACCATAAACAGGTAAATATTTGTAGATTCATTCATAAGACATGTATTAAATCCACCATAAACAGGTAAATATTTGTAGATTCATTCATAAGACATGTATTAAATCCACCATAAACAGGTAAATATTTGTAGATTCATTCATAAGACATGTATTAAATCCACCATAAACAGGTAAATATTTGTAGATTCATTCATAAGACATGTATTAAATCCACCATAAACAGGTAAATATTTGTAGATTCATTCATAAGACATGTATTAAATCCACCATAAACAGGTAAATATTTGTAGATTCATTCATAAGACATGTATTAAATCCATCATAAACAGGTAAATATTTGTAGATTCATTCATAAGACATGTATTCAATCCACCATAAACAGGTAAATATTTGTAGATTCATTCATAAGACATATATTCAATCCATCATAAACAGGTAAGTATTTGTAGATTCATTCATAAGACATGTATTAAATCCACCATAAACAGGTAAATATTTGTAGATTCATTCATAAGACATGTATTAAATCCATCATAAACAGGTAAATATTTGTAGATTCATTCATAAGACATGTATTAAATCCATCATAAACAGGTAAATATTTGTAGATTCATTCATAAGACATGTATTCAATCCATCATAAACAGGTAAATATTTGTAGATTCATTCATAAGACATGTATTAAATCCAGCATAAACAGGTAAATATTTGTAGATTCATTCATAAGACATGTATTCAATCCATCATAAACAGGTAAATATTTGTAGATTCATTCATAAGACATGTATTAAATCCAGCATAAACAGGTAAATATTTGTAGATTCATTCATAAGACATGTATTCAATCCATCATAAACAGGTAAATATTTGTAGATTCATTCATAAGACATGTATTAAATCCAGCATAAACAGGTAAATATTTGTAGATTCATTCATAAGACATGTATTCAATCCATCATAAACAGGTAAATATTTGTAGATTCATTCATAAGACATGTATTAAATCCAGCATAAACAGGTAAATATTTGTAGATTCATTCATAAGACATGTATTCAATCCATCATAAACAGGTAAATATTTGTAGATTCATTCATAAGACATGTATTAAATCCAGCATAAACAGGTAAATATTTGTAGATTCATTCATAAGACATGTATTAAATCCACCATAAACAGGTAAATATTTGTAGATTCATTCATAAGACATGTATTAAATCCAGCATAAACAGGTAAATATTTGTAGATTCATTCATAAGACATGTATTAAATCCACCATAAACAGGTAAATATTTGTAGATTCATTCATAAGACATGTATTCAATCCATCATAAACAGGTAAATATTTGTAGATTCATTCATAAGACATGTATTAAATCCAGCATAAACAGGTAAATATTTGTAGATTCATTCATAAGACATGTATTAAATCCACCATAAACAGGTAAATATTTGTAGATTCATTCATAAGACATGTATTCAATCCATCATAAACAGGTAAATATTTGTAGATTCATTCATAAGACATGTATTAAATCCATCATAAACAGGTAAATATTTGTAGATTCATTCATAAGACATGTATTCAATCCATCATAAACAGGTAAATATTTGTAGATTCATTCATAAGACATGTATTAAATCCATCATAAACAGGTAAATATTTGTAGATTCATTCATAAGACATGTATTAAATCCACCATAAACAGGTAAATATTTGTAGATTCATTCATAAGACATGTATTCAATCCACCATAAACAGGTAAATATTTGTAGATTCATTCATAAGACATATATTCAATCCATCATAAACAGGTAAGTATTTGTAGATTCATTCATAAGACATGTATTAAATCCACCATAAACAGGTAAATATTTGTAGATTCATTCATAAGACATGTATTCAATCCATCATAAACAGGTAAATATTTGTAGATTCATTCATAAGACATGTATTCAATCCATCATAAACAGGTAAATATTTGTAGATTCATTCATAAGACATGTATTAAATCCACCATAAACAGGTAAATATTTGTAGATTCATTCATAAGACATGTATTCAATCCACCATAAACAGGTAAATATTTGTAGATTCATTCATAAGACATATATTCAATCCATCATAAACAGGTAAGTATTTGTAGATTCATTCATAAGACATGTATTAAATCCACCATAAACAGGTAAATATTTGTAGATTCATTCATAAGACATGTATTAAATCCATCATAAACAGGTAAATATTTGTAGATTCATTCATAAGACATGTATTCAATTCACCATAAATAGGGTAAATATTTGTAGATTCATTCATAAGACATGTATTAAATCCACCATAAATAGGGTAAATATTTGTAGATTCATTCATAAGACATGTATTAAATCCACCATAAACAGGTAAATATTTGTAGATTCATTCATAAGACATGTATTAAATCCATCATAAACAGGTAAATATTTGTAGATTCATTCATAAGACATGTATTAAATCCACCATAAACAGGTAAATATTGGTAGATTCATTCATAAGACATGTATTAAATCCACCATAAACAGGTAAATATTTGTAGATTCATTCATAAGACATGTATTAAATCCACCATAAACAGGTAAATATTTGTAGATTCATTCATAAGACATGTATTAAATCCACCATAAATAGGGTAAATATTTGTAGATTCATTCATAAGACATGTATTAAATCCACCATAAACAGGTAAATATTTGTAGATTCATTCATAAGACATGTATTAAATCCACCATAAACAGGTAAATATTTGTAGATTCATTCATAAGACATGTATTAAATCCACCATAAATAGGGTAAATATTTGTAGATTCATTCATAAGACATGTATTAAATCCACCATAAACAGGTAAATATTTGTAGATTCATTCATAAGACATGTATTAAATCCACCATAAATAGGGTAAATATTTGTAGATTCATTCATAAGACATGTATTAAATCCACCATAAACAGGTAAATATTTGTAGATTCATTCATAAGACATGTATTAAATCTACCATAAATTGTGTTAGACACTGATCCCAAATAAACAGATCTAACAAGTCCACATCTTAAACTTAACAATGTCTACAGCAAGTTTCAGAAAAACATAATTAATATTAAACAAACTGTTAGAGCAAACTACTTTGTAAACCAGAGGCATTCATAAGGTTATCATTTGAGTTACAAAGTAACCAGTAATTTAATGTGTATAATTTGATTAAAGATGTAAAAAATGTATTCTACAAATACAAATTGGTGAGACAACAAATAGGGGTAGTAGCAATTTTTTAAAATCATCACTCAAAAAAAAACACTTGCTCAACTACTGACCTGTGTCCATTTTGGACATGGAAGGTTCTCCTGTGTATCCAGTCGGCTCATCAATTTCATCCTCCAACAAGAGCCGGGGAGCAGGAGGGGCCACAAAGGCCATGTCGGGGCTAACTGGCAGCTGCGGCTCCGAGGTGGTCTCCCTTACAGGCAGGCCCATTGGCGAGCCCACAGAGGGGAGGGTGGCTTGGTCAATGTCTTGACCACTGGGGAGGATGTCAATAGAGTTTCTCTTGCTCAGGGTTCTGGTCTGTTGGCTGATCACCTGAAGTTAAGGAAGGCATTGTTTAACCTGGTTAAGGAAGGCATTGTTTAACCTGAAGTTAAGGAAGGCATTGTTTAACCTGGTTAAGGAAGGCATTGTTTAACCTCAAGTTAAGGAAGGCATTGTTTAACCTGAAGTTAAGGAAGGCATTGTTTAACCTGAAGTTAAGGAAGGCATTGTTTAACCTGAAGTTAAGGAAGGCATTGTTTAACCTGAAGTTAAGGAAGGCATTGTTTAACCTGAAGTTAAGGAAGGCATTGTTTAACCTGAAGTTAAGGAAGGCATTGTTTAACCTGAAGTTAAGGAAGGCATTGTTTAACCTGAAGTTAAGGAAGGCATTGTTTAACCTGAAGTTAAGGAAGGCATTGTTTAACCTGAAGTTAAGGAAGGCATTGATTAGCCGGCAGGTAACAGAAATTTATTATATGACAAATATTTTGTAACATTACGAGCTTGAAAATTCTGCAACTAAACATATTTTCCTGCTATAGCAGGTAAGCTACCCATAGACTCACCTGCTCACTATATCTACGAATCAGTTTTGGGCCTGGCCTGCCAGGCTTTGGGAAAGATGGTGGAGGAACATTCAACTCATCTTTAGACTCGGATTCATTTTTCCTCCTCTCACTGCTGGGCCGCCCCCCAACAGATGAACAGCTGACATCCATGTTTTGACTTGTTGAGTTGTGAAAATCTGGCTGCTCTTGACAAGCTTGGTCTTTCTTTGCTCGTTCAAGCTGCTCCACCTAGAATTAACATTTAGCTCTTTAACTCTGACTAAAAATCAATTACATGAGCTTCTATAACAAGAGTTCTGTTAGAAAAATGCTGTATCTAGATGTACTTATTTTAAGTTGTATTAGACTAAATAAAATGAGGCAACAGATATTGAAGGTGCGGTACCTGATTAGCCAGATTGTAATGTCCCTTTTGTCTAGCTAAAGTTAAGGGCAGGAGGCCATCTTTGTTGCACATTTTTAAAGGTGATGCATTCCAGTGGTACAAGGTGAGAGCAGCATCAATCTTGCCTAAAGCACACGCCCACATCTGATGGGGAGAATATAGCTTTGTTATCAAGGTTGAACCTAAAACTTATTGTGATTACAACTAGTGTCACATCGGCCCCGCAATAAATTTCAAATTAAATTTTTAGAGTAAGCTTATAAGTACTTTAGTAAATGTACTTTCTACACAGACTTACCAGTGGTGTGCATGCGTGACTGTCTACACTCTGAGCATCTACCTCAAACTCCAACGCCACGCAGCTGTTGTCCATTCTGATAGGATGATGGTGTTAAGTATTAGAAAAAAAAATATTTAAAAAAAAAACATTCTATTAAAATATTCTGAACATAATTTTTTCTTTAACATAACAGGACAAGACAAATTGGAAGATGAAACAGGATTACCTCCAGCGGATGAGGCAGGATATCAGCTTGGCAAAACCAAGCCCAGCTGCCAAATGTAAAAGGGTGAGGTTATGCTGCCCAGCCTTAGGGTAAAGATTTGTATCTGTCCAGGACTGATTCAACAAGGACTGGACCTGCTGGACCAATGCTGCCTCCAGGCTTTCTGGATCATCTGAGATGTGATCCTGGAACACAACAAACTGTGACATCCACAACTCACAACACAACAATATGTGACATATCCACAACTCACAACACAACAAACTGTGACATCCACAACTCACAACACAAACTGTGACATCCACAACTCACAACACAACAATATGTGGCATATCCACAACTCACAACACAACAAACACTGACATATCCACAACTCACAACACAACAAACTGTGACATCCACAACACAACAAACTGTGACATATCCACAACTCACAACACAACAAACTGTGACATATCCACAACTCACAACACAACAATATGTGACATATCCACAACTCACATCAAATATGCCATCTATGACATATCCATAACTCACAACACAACAAACATACCAGTCATTGAGATAATCCTTTTACCTTTAACAAGAAAAACACTAAGAAATTTACCTGAAAAACTGACTGTGAATTTATGAAGCGTCTTCTCAACTGATCTAGTCTTTCAACCAACAACAGTCTCAGCTGATTGGCTACAACAAACACATAAAGGTGGATGTAGTTAGTTTTTAAACTTTTCATCTGCTGAATCATTTAAGCTTGAACTGTACAAGTGACTTACCATCAATAGCAAACCATTCAGGATGTGTTGTACTTGTGTCTCTACACTCCTTATCACAGAATTCAAATACTTCACAGTTGGAGATGATAACACCATTGCGTGCCACTTGTAGAGTGGCGTACCCAGGGCAGTGATCTGTCACCAAATAATTAGTTCATGGTTACAACGGTCTATCATTATCTAGACTGCACTGACCAATTGTCTCCAACAGTATCTCTAAGTACTGTCAGTTTCCCAAGATTGAACAAGCACATGAGACTTACATTGAGATTGAACAAGCACATGAAGACTTACATTAAGATTGAACAAGCTCATGAGACTTACATTGAGATTGAACAAGCACATGAAGACTTAGATTGAGATTGAACAAGTTCATGAGACTTACATTGAGATTGAACAAGCACATGAAGACTTACATTGAGATTGAACAAGCACATGAGACTTACATTGAGATTGAACAAGCACATGAAGACTTACATTGAGATTGAACAAGCACATGAAGACTTACATTGAGATTGAACAAGTTCATGAGACTTACATTGAGATTGAACAAGCACATGAAGACTTACATTGAGATTGAACAAGCACATGAAGACTTACATTGAGATTGAACAAGTTCATGAGACTTACATTGAGATTGAACAAGCACATGAAGACTTACATTGAGATTGAACAAGCACATGAGACTTACATTGAGATTGAACAAGCACATGAAGACTTACATTGAGATTGAACAAGCACATGAAGACTTACATTGAGATTGAACAAGTTCATGAGACTTACATTGAGATTGAACAAGCACATGAAGACTTACATTGAGATTGAACAAGCACATGAAGACTTACATTGAGATTGAACAAGTTCATGAGACTTACATTGAGATTGAACAAGCACATGAAGACTTACATTGAGATTGAACAAGTTCATGAGACTTACATTGAGATTGAACAAGCACATGAAGACTTAGATTGAGATTGAACAAGTTCATGAGACTTACATTGAGATTGAACAAGCACATGAAGACTTAGATTGAGATTGAACAAGTTCATGAGACTTACACTGAGATTGAACAAGCACATGAAGACTTAGATTGAGATTGAACAAGCACATGAGACTTACATTGAGATTGAACAAGTTCATGAGACTTACAATGAGATTGAACAAGTTCATGAGACTTACACTGAGATTGAACAAGTTCATGAGACTTACACTGAGATTGAACAAGTTCATGAGACTTACACTGAGATTGAACAAGTTCATGAGACTTACACTGAGATTGAACAAGTTCATGAGACTTACACTGAGATTGAACAAGCACATGAAGACTTACATTGGGTGAAGCACCTGAGCAGGCCAGGCTGGAGCAAGATGGCTGGAATGTGTTCCCCATCAAAGACACAAGAATAGTTAGCATTCTCACTAAACCAAGGCCCTGCCACTAGGATTTTCGTGTTTGTCTGATCAAAGAAATTTCAAAGGTTTATAACAAGGGACAACATGATAAAAGTAAGTGTACAAAATTGCTTCTTCTTTATCTGCCAGTAGATTGTCAATCTAATATATAAAGCTCAATTCTGTATGTAATAAGTTTGTCGTTGACATACTTCAATGGATTTAAGTGTTAGATCCTTATGGTCTAAATTTATGAGTTAAAAAATTAATATTGAAAGTTTTGGGAAATAATTTTCATTTATCAAACTGAAAGTAATAATTTTCGGCATGTTCATTAAACACAAGTTTTTAAAAAATATCATCTTTTACAAAAATTCTAATTATGTCTTTATTTAGTCCTATAGCACTTACTTCCCTTTGATAAATTAGGAAAACACAATTACTTCCCTTTATAAAACCATTACATTAGTGGAAAAGAATTTACTTTTTATTACTTTGTTTTGGTGTTGGGAAAAAAAATAATTACATAATTAGCGGGGATTGATCAAGAGCAAATGTTGTAGGTATTTTACGGATAAGCTTGGAGTATTATAATTGTTCATTAAATTGAAACAGGCGCGTTCGTTTAAGTGAGTGCAAAAGACTATGAATAAGTTGGGGTACTATAGTCGTTTATTAAGCTAAAACAGGCGATTCCGCCCCGGGCTAGACTGTGAGCACTTTGCGTTTTTGTTCGCGTTAGTGTTTTCTTTGTGTTTAGGTTGGGTTTGCGTTAGTGGTTGCGGTTTGATTTGGTTCGTTTTTTGTTCTTTCTTTTTTTGTTTTTGTGTTTTTTTCTTTGGGTTTGTATTTGTGTTTTTGGTTGGTTTTGCGTTTGGATTTGGTTTGTTTTCGTTTGCTTTTTCGGTTTTTTTTTGTGTTGTTATTGGTTGGTATTGGTGTTTGTGGTTGGGTTTGTTGTTAGGTTTTTGTTTTCGTTTGCTTTTTTGTTTGTTTTTTCTTTGTGTTTGTATTGGTGTTTGTGGTTGTGTTTGTTGTTAGGTTTTTGTTTTCGTTTGTATTTGTAATTGTGTTAGCATTATGTTTGCGTTTTGTTGTTTTGGTTGGTTGTGGTTTGGGTGGGCAATGCCGGGTTTATGATGATTACTAAACACACAGGTAATGGTCTTTAACAGAAAGGTTTTTCACAGAAGCCAGAGAAGGGCCTGGCCGGGACTGCTAGTTAATATTATATTTCTGAATAAATAAAATAGACTTGAGCATAAGTGTTATAATTCAATAGGGTATTGTGTTTTAATATGAGTCAACATTTTAAACTCTCTGACTAGTGCATAGTCATCAAAAATTTCAGCTACCCCCTAGTGTGGGCTGGACAAAGTATGAACAAATACCTTTGTGTAAGTCCAAGTATCTTTGTATAAGCCCAAATACCTTTGTATAAGCCCAAATACCTTTGTATAAGCCCAAATACCTTTGTATATGCCCAAATACCTTTATATAAGCCCAAATAGGCCTACCTTTGTATAAGCCCACATACCTTTGTATAAGCCCAAATACCTTTGTATAAGCCCAAATACCTTTGTATTAGCCCAAATACCTTTGTATAAGCCCAAATACCTTTGTATATGCCCAAATACCTTTGTATAAGCCCAAATAGGCCTACCTTTGTATAAGCCCACATACCTTTGTATAAGCCCAAATAACTTTGTATAAGCCCACATACCTTTGTATAAGCCCAAATAACTTTGTATAAGCCCACATACCTTTGTATAAGCCCACATACCTTTGTATAAGCCCACATACATTTGTATAAGCCCACATACCTTTGTATAAGCCCAGTCTGGGCTAAAGTCTTTGATCACAGAGTTGAGTTCAGGGTCACTGTCCTGATTGTTATCACAGCTGAGATGGTGGGGATCTGAGGGGCCGGCCAGCATCATGGGGGAGTAAGACTGGGGCGGGGCCCCTGGGTGGAGGGGAGACAGGGGTGCGTGAGGCTGTGGAAGTCCTTGATTGGTCAGATGGAATCCCAAAGTATTATTAACACAGGTGAACAGGGGTACATTTTCTGGGGATTGAAAAGCAATAGCAATACATTCACAGTTTTACATAAAATAAACACCTATTTGATACTTTTCATATTTTAGAAAATAATATTTCCTACAAGTTGGTAGCATGTCATTAAATGATTTTCAAATATCAATGAATTGTTTGATTTTAAACAGACATCTAGTGATGTCTTTAAGTAACTTTTGATAGTAATGGTGGCACAATGGAGGACAAGGACCAACCAACCTGCTATAGTGCTCTGGGGCAGGCCACCACTGTCCTGAACATGCCCACCTTTGGGCTCTATACTCATCTCATTGCTGATGTGTGGCTGTTCTGAGATGTCTGATGGGGTGAAGGGGGAGCACCCAAGGTCAGACACATCATCAAGGTCGTTAAGGTCAAGGAGGTCATCTAGGTTGAGATCAGCGCTGGGCAGTGATGAAAAGCTGCCATCCAGGGTATCACAGGAGTTGGGGTTGGTCATCTGGAAGGCCAGAGTTGTTTGCTAATGAGAGCCTCACTCAGGCATACGCCATTAGTGTTTTAAGGAGTTACTTATTTAAACAATGTAATTAAAATTTAAAGATAGCAGAGGTTGAAAACAGAGTATCCACAATAACAGAACGGCACAATAACTAGATAAGACATCTCCCCTACCCCACCCTATCAAATTAACTCTAAACTTAATCCCAACACTAATCCAAACTATATGTATTCAATTACAGCAATGTTAGGGTTAAGTTTAGGATAGATTGGAAATACTCTGCTCGTAATAAGAATAGTTCACACTTTACTGGTTCCACAGCTTTAATGTAAAATATCTGATTCAACCAAACAGTGTTTCTCAATTTGACAGTAACATATTCTAAAGAGGGGGAAGTTCATCTAGGGGGTAATCATCGAGGCAACTACAAAGAGGGTAATGTACAAGACACTTGATAACCACTGTTTCAAAATGTATGTTATCAGTGTATATCAATTTAACTTGTAGTAACAGCTTCATCTGCATTTAACATTAGACCTACCATTTCTTTGACTGAGGAATTCAGGACTGAAGGTCCAGGATTTAAACTAGACTCACCATATCTTTGACTGAGGAACTGAAGGTCCAGCATTTAAAAATAGACTCACCATATCTTTGACTGAGGAATTCAGGCCTGAAGGTCCAGCCATCAGGTCGGGTGAGTGGATTGAATGTGGAAGGTGAGAGTGAACTTGATGACCTTGTGAGATGGCCTGCTGAAGGGAGAATACTGTGGAAGGTTCTGATGAGCCCCTCATCAATGCGCCAGAGAAGCTGGGCTGACATTGGTTAGACAGGAAGGAGCTGCTGTAGCTGGTGGTGTTGTTGCTGTGTGAGCTTTGACCAAAGGATGTTGGGGATGAGCTTTTGTTGTCCTGCTGCTCTTCTTTCTTCATCTCACTCAAGTTGTTGTCAAACTGCTGGCTATGTACAGAGAAAATTTGATGATCTACTTTCAAGGGGAAGGAACTGGCGTTTGTTCCTGAAGATGAGAATACAGAGTAGCCCTGCTGTTGGTGGTTGAGAGATGACACTGTCATGGGAGAGGTGTAAGTAAATTTTTGAGACAGGTTTTCGTTATGGTCAGACTGTGTAAACATTGCTGTTGTCATGGCTACCGGGACATCTGTAAAAGCTGAGTCCATGTTTTCCAAGGTATGGTGGGTGAAAGATTTCTGGGGCTGCGGGGCTCCAGGTGTTGTGTGATGCTGCTGAGCGCTGGATGAGATCCTGTTGAGAACCAGACCCCCACCGGGCCCCTGACTGGCCACAAAGACAAGGGCCTGGTTGCTTGGCAGGTTCAGGGACTGGCTGCTGTTGAAGCCAGCAAACCCAGGAGGAGGCTAGATGATCAAGACAAAATACATCACAAATTAACAGTTGTAGGTTGCTGATGTTACATACAAATAATAAGTAGTTGTAAAAAGCAAAAAAAAATTAGATAAAAATAACATGAAAATTTAATTTTTCATGGATCAATATTTATAGAGATATACCTGCTCATTACTGTGAGAGACTATGGTGGCACCTTGTAAACTTAGCACAAAACCTGGGCTGTCAGAGGATGAACTGTTAGAGGGCTTGAGGTGAAGGGTCAGCACTGGGGCTTGCTGCAGCTGTTGTTGCTGCTGTTGTTGTTGTTGCTGATGATGATGGAAACCAAAGTTTTAAACTCCACTTGAAGGTACACATTATTTCAATGAGGTGACAAAAACCATAACTAGAACAGCCTATCAATTAAAAAAACCTACCAATTTTAACTGGTGCTCATCTACACATAAGGAATGGCTTTGTTCACCAACTTGCTGGTACACCAGCTGCTGCTGTTGGTGAAAAGGATTCTGGACTCCTATGTTCTGATCAGTTTGAGATTCTTGGCTACCTAAATACTGCTGAAAATAGCAATAGTATGACCAGAATGAAAATCTTGCTGAAAATTAGTTATAGATTCAAAAAGTACATTTTAGGAAACTTTGTTCCATAACAAGCAAAAAGTGGTCATTGTATAGACTTGTGGACTGCCACACACCTACAGCTGAGGATATAAAGGACTACTTTTGTTTGCATCTCTTCTTTGATTGCTAGAATTAGACTATACTATTTCTATGGTAATACTCAATGACTCTAGAAAACAGTTTTACTATGAAAATAGTTCCTAAGTTAAAAAACTTTTAAAAACCTTACATCTCTTGTGACTGCTAATGGTGAAGTTGTAGTCATGATGAGTGTGTTATCCGCTGGAGATTGGGGTATAGGGGGGATCTCTTGGTTGATGAATGGAGCAGTGGTCCCGTGGCTGGTGTAGATGGGGGTGACACTGGACAACAGCTGGGGTACAGCACAAGACAGGCTCTCTGTACCAGGTGCTTGGCTGGACGAGGCTGTACTGGCTATGACAACATCAGATCCTATGGTGAGAAACCGTGGGGTATTTGCCGAGCTTGCCACATTCTTGTTGACAAAGCCAGCTACATGTAGATTTTGTGGAATATTATGGGATGAATGAAAGTTTTGACCATGGGAGGAGGTTAGGATTGTATGGGTAGTGGGATTGACCTTCTGTATAAGGTTAGAGCCAGTTAGGGAATGGATATTTGGAATATTGCCTTGGTTAGGTTGCTGCTGCTGCTGAGAGTGAAGCAGCTGAGTTGCGAGCAAGGCTGGGTGCTGTGTGGTAACCCTGACCTGACCCCCAGCACTCTGGGTCTGCTGGGGGTGAAAGGATGTAGAGTCCAGTTTAGCACCAGGCTGGGTTTCCATGGTTACAAACTGCTTACGTGCTGGCCTTTTAACAGCAGGGGAGGAAGATACTGTGGTAGAGGAGGATGAGGAACTGGACACAACAGACGTGACAGGAGCAGGCGCCAGAGGTCGAGTTCCACGAGGCAACCCTTGAGGTACTTTATTATTCTCTTGAGCTGGCAGCAGCAAAGGAAGAATTTCTTCCAACATTTTTTCTACCTGTTCATTCCATAAAAAATATTGTTTTAGTAACAGCATTTCATTTAAGTATACTTCAGTAGTAAAAACAAGAACCAGTATAAATTCATTGGGAGGTGATATTAAGCTCAGTGATAGAACATGTAAGACATCAGCACTACCTATACATTAAATATTTGTCTAAATAACCTTTTACCTTTTGATCCTCTTCAACGTCATGCTCTGTCCCCTGAGCAACTTGTGACACTGAAAATGCACATCTGGTTTTTTATAAACAATATACTACAATAAGTGGTTTCTTGGATCAATTTTAAAGGTAAATGAATTTCAAATTAATTTATGGACCTTTCATGAGAAATGTTGAACTGGAGCTGTCATATAATGTTGGAAAACAGAAGTTAATCAAACTGACAATAAAGTCAATTACAATCAACTTTTGCTGTAATTGTCCTTAAATTGTAAGCAACATCTATTTTTTAACACTTGTTATATTCAACCTCTACAGCAAACCCTTCTGAATGAATCATAACATGCACAATGTATAGGTATAGGAAGATTCTCAATTGAGCCACTAGTCATGTCAATGGATGTGATAAAAACTTACACATGGGCCTTAGCTGATCAACCAACTCTTCTTTTGTCCAGTCCTTTTGCTGCAGTTCATAAGACAGTGAGGGTATTGGTGGCTTGGCTGATTCAGGGTATGGCACATTCAAGTAGTGAATAAGGACAATGTTGGGGTTCTTCAAAGTTAAAAAAAAAGAATATCTGTAAGTCTTTTTAAATCAATTGGTTTCTTTATTTTTAACTATTTTAAATTTTGAAAACTCTTTGATAAATGCATACTAAAGTACCTGCAAGAGCCAATAGCATCTTCTGTGAAAGGTTGGCAGTATAGCTGAGTGCACATAGGATCCATATATACACTAAAATCAGATAAACAGGTATTGTTACAAAAAAGTTTAAAAACAACTTATTTCTATGCACATCTACTCAGTTCAAGCTCAGTACAGTAATAGGCTAGATGCTTGAGGTCTCCCAGCAATGGGATCTAGTAAATCAAAGGCAGCTGGGCATAATGTTGGCAACACCATCTCTTTATACACAGCTGCCGCCAAAACTATAAACTCTGTATTTCAAGAGTCTAGTGAACCTTAAGGGATTTTTCCTTTTTTTAATTCTAGAAAGTTAAGAAAGTATAAACAAAGAGTGGATATGAGAGAGTACCTCTAGCCCTTGAACTTTGAGCTTCATATGGTCTTCTCTGATAGTGCTCCCATTCTTTCTCTTCTTCCAGCAGTATCCATCTCTCCTGTAGAACACAACTTTCCTGTTGTACAACAACATCGAACCACTGGCAGGCCTGGAAACAGAAAATTCTCTCACCTTCACAATTACAGCCATCATTTCATTAACATGGGGGAGTAGTTGCAACTTTAAGTGCAGTGAGACCTCCCATAATTAGGAAATGTAGTTCAACCAACACATTTAACTGCGATACAGGTCAGATATAAATTATTGTACTGAATATAGATCATGCCTGATGCATGCATAACAAAATCAATATTTCACAAGTGTACACTTAAAATTAAATGTACCTTATTTTCTGAGGCAACACAAGCCACTCTTTATGGCGATCAAATGCAATCAAAACAGACGCAATTTCCTAAATGAAGGATTAATGGTTTTAAAAAAACTTTAGAACAATAAAACATCCAAATAAAAAGGACACTTCCAACTTTGACGGTCCATGAAAAATCATGGTGTTTTAAGAAACATCAAACAAGGCAGCATTAAAATAAAGATAGAATATATTTAATAAAAAACAAATCCCAACTAACTTCGTTGGTATTCCATCTATGCCGCACACAGACAAATTCCTCAGCAGGGGTAATTTTCTGAAGCTGCTCTGGAAGTTTGATATTTACCATTCCTGCTATAAAAAAAACATCATTAATATGTCTTAGGGTAAACGTCAACATTAAAGTTTCATGCATTTTCATAAATCTATTTTTACCACATTAATGATCTTCACTAGATCTACATGTTGGACAAGCATCACAACAGCTACTAAAATACAGGAGAGTTACAGTGAATTTAGACATACTATCAGAGTCATCTACAGGCTCTGGGGTTCCATCACGCTGGTCCATTTTTGAGGAAGTTGATGGAGCCTCATCCAGCTCCTCCATTGTTCCTCTGCCCAGCTATTTTAGTTAATCAGCCATCGCTGATTATATATATTTTAATTTCAAGTTGAAAATCATTGTAAAAAGCTCTGTCGAAGAAAAGTAGTAGATTATAATGTCATGGACCATGGAATTCTAGATTTAGTAGTTCCTTAAAATATTCCTATGGATCATGGAAGGTTAGCTGTTGGGCTAGCTTTAAGCAAGGCATGAAGTGTTGGGATTGTTATTTGAGTTTACTTAGTTAAACTCAACTAGATCTAGATCTACTTACTTATAGTAATAGATCTAGATCTAGTCTAATACGGAAGAGTACTATTAGAGTAAGTTATTAAAAATGTTAGGCCTAGGCTATTAAGGCCAAGGCTATTCCCAGTCGGCTGTCATTTCATGCTAAATACGACTGTGAATAATATCTTAAAATAATAAAAGCATTTATTGTGACTGGGGAATGAGGTATAGATTAAGAGAGCAGTGCTATTTTTATTTTGTTGTAAAAAAGTTATTACAATTAAAGTTTAGCTTTTAGGCTCATATCAGGCATATCTGCTACAGGCTACGTAGGTCATAGATGATCAATTATGCACTCTAAATCTATACTATTCTATACACTAGAATAATAGATCTAGTAATTTTTAAATAAATAATACTAATTAAGCATCAGTTTGGTAAAGGTTAGTTGGTTGTTCACATTGCTATTGACTTATCAATTATCATTAAAAATTCACATTATCACATAGAATAAATATCAGGTGAAATAGGATGTCCTTTTTCATCAGCTAATAATTCAGTTTCCATCACACTTTTGTATTTTTTCTCTTTTTTTTTTTTTTTTTTTTTTTTTGCGGATATGCCAACAATTACGTCACAAAAAAAAGTAACAAAAGTAACCCTTCGATGAGTAACTTAACTTAAGTAACTGAAAAAATATATTGATATTAAGATTGAGAGGCATACATTAAGACTCAGTCATAGCGATAGGGCATCTGATGGATTTGAACCCACACCTTCTGGCACGTCAACCACTCCCAATGACCGCTCGACCACACGTCTTCATGCCTAATTAGGTATTTTTAACATTAAATGTATCAAAAACGGTCACGTGAATACGACTGTGAATAGCCCCAATACGGCTATTCACAGTCGACTGTGAATAGACACTTCGGGCTATTAATATTATGATTATGGTTGTGTTGTCTAGACTAGTTGGATATGGTATGTGTTCTATTCTAAGTACTAGATCTAGATTAGATCTAGATCTAAGTTGTCTGTTATATTTTTTTAATGTTGCAGTCTACTCTTGTCTTATAAAAGTCTTATTTTATTTTTAGTAAAGGTGAATGGTCCAATAGATCAGAAAAGATCAATATGATTTTTAGAGCTAACGTTAATCAAAACAGATTCTAGAACTATTTATTAGATTTATATTATAAGAATGAAAGCTACAGGTGAGAATGTAATACCACAATTAATAACAAAACCTATTTTTCAGAGGCCTAGGCCTACCTGTGTAATTCGATTATATTAGCAGGCTGAATGCGCATGTACCACCGGAAGAAAGTTGTTTATTTTTTATTTTGTAGCACAGTTTTGGTTCATTCTATTTTATTTTGTTAAAGGTAGCGGTGTATATAATGATAATGGCATAAATTCGTATATCTTGTTTTATGAGTAATGCATACTTAAGTAATTTATACCACATTGCGTAAATAAAAATGACATTAGTATTACAATAAATACTCCCTCTATAAAATAAATAAAAACAAACTACAAGGGGAGCGCACCTGATTTTCTTTCTACTAGATCTAGATCTCTACATCAAAATGTAAAGTAAAGGTTCTTACATTGTTGACAAAAGGCTCTTTCCTGTAGACTGCTATAGATCTAGTCGCATAGATTATATTTTAGATAAACTGCCTACAGATTACAGATATCCGAACTATAGATCTAGTTGAACTAGATCTATATTTGATTTGCGATGACATCTGTTGACCAATATGCTTTACCTGCAACAGTTTCTCTTCTTGGTATTTACCAACTTAGTAAGTGTAACTTGACTTACTGTAACTATTGAAGGTAATCTATCGTTTTACGGTTTTGGGTACGTAAAATCGCCCTCGGCTAGTAATGTACGAAAAGGTTACCTCGTTGTCAAGGCTTTAATAGAAGTATAGGCCTATAGTATATTGTGATTTTTGTCAAATATTAGGCCTAGGCCTATAGAATATACTTGAATATAGATAAATGAATAATAAACCTAAATTTATAGCTAAATATTAAAATATTAATATATCAATATAGGCAAGAAATTAACTTTAAACAGCAGTGTTTGCGAGCAGGATTTGCGGCCATCTGTAAGTTAGAGTGGCTGCCCCTGAATCTTGCGCTATAAGTTTACAATTAAAAAAAAAATAAACACGATGGCTGCTATAGTAAATGAGCATAGTTTCATCTGTTGCAAACATCGCTAGTCTTCATTTATTGACATTTATTACTGAAAAGTTTAATTCAATTGTTTGAAAACAGGTACATAAATGAAACAAGGAAACATTTTTGTATTATTCAAAACATAAATCCTCCTCAAAATGTGAAATAATTATTAAAATTTAAGGAGTCACCTGTTTTTCACATTATTAGTCGTGGGCGATTTTACGTACCTAAAACAATAGATTACCAGTAAGAATAATTATTAATTAGGGCCTAATGGCTAATAATTATTAATATTTATTATTTATATATATTAGCATTAGGCCCAATATAATTGAAAATATTTGAATATAATAATCCTATAAAATCTAGCCTGCCTAAATTAATATTTTTATTTTAGTCAGTTTTGTTAGTCACTTTTTAAGTTTTTTTTTAAGGTTGTATCTATTACTATTTGGACCCGGCCATGACTGCTAATAGGACCCAGGACCTTATAATCCTTATACTTATATAGCCTCGAACGCTATTCGGACCAGGCATGTTAAGATTCAGTTAAATAATAAGTCTTTTTTGTTGTTGTGATTTTTTAGCGCAATTTCCATTCTGGAGAATTGCGTTTATTAACCCGTCATTTCTGGATGGATGGATGGATGGATGGATGGATGAATGTGTGTCCGCAGCTTTAAGTCGTATCTCCTCCTCAACGAAGCAATATCGATGACTAGTTTCAAAAGCAATTATGTTAAGCAAGTTACGAGGATGAACATAGGCCATAAAAATTCCGGGTTTCTTTCATGGATTTCCCAGAAAAGCCAAAAAATCTCGAAAAAAAGCAGTTTTTGGCCCATATCTCGGCAACCAGACCACTTAGCGACTTGAAACATGTACCAATCGATTCCTGTCATAATTTAGAACAATATTGCCGAAGAAAGTTTTCAAAAATATTCTCTCGTTCGGTCACAAATTTTAAAATTACATAAACACCTACAAACCGATTGTTCTTCTAGCTTGAACGCACCCCAACATTATACGTCAGAGCTATTTTTAGATAACATAAGGAAATTGCGCACAAATGTCACTAGACTTTTTTAATTAACTTGTTGTTCTTGTAATTCCATATATCAAGAGCTTTCTTTTAAATACCCAATGCCTTTTCGTACAAATATCATGTGGAACGGGAGTCTTATGGCCTATGGTATGAACTTCTCTGACCAGCAAGTGTTGAGCTCACACGTACAAATGTAGTGTTGTTTTTTTTTTCTGTAATATGAAATTTGATTTTTTAGACCTATTACTTCAAATAAAAAAAAATTCAATTGTATAAAATAGCTGAATATAGGGGACAGTCGACAGCTCCCAGGCCAGTTTCTTGAACACTAATATCTCGCATGCGTGGTAGTACGCTATAATAGAAGCAGTTTATAACAAACTCACAATGACCCCAAAATACGTTTTTCTTCTTGCTGGGTTGGGGGGGGGGGGGGGAATAAAAGTGATGTCATTGATAATTTCAAATAGCTATGGTTTTGTTATGACGCACAGTGTTTCTTCCAGACTTTCTTCTCAGGGGGGGGGGGGGGGCACACTTAAAATGTTATGGGGGTGGGGGGGGGGGGGGGCGGACACTGTATATATTTTCTATATGAATGTCATTTCGTTCGGGGGGGGGGGTGGTTAGAAGAAACACTGATGATGTATGCTATATGCCTACACTATTCATATCTAAACCAATGTGAACTCACAGTGACCCTAGCTAGACCGTGTTGGTATTTTTCTTGTGCTGACAAGACAACGCGAGCAGGTGATCATAGGAGCAACAACGTTTAGAATTAGGGTGTTTAATAATCTAAATCTAGAAAAGATATGGAATTTAAAAAAAAAAAAAATATGCAAAGCAACTATTGAGACAGAACTTTGTTGAATATTTTTCTTCAGGCACAAAACTAAGTGCATAAGATGTACCAGGATCAAGCGAAGGGAAATCCCAGTTTAGAGATGTTCTGAATGATGAACTTTTTACCAGTGGGAAGCACGACCTTCTCCACTCGGCCGTGACAACTTATGTTAAGAATCCAATTTTTAATGATTTTGTATATAGAGCTATATATAAAGTATTTAGAAATAGGAAGACCTAACACTAGCAAATCCACAATACTAATTAACACACACAATAAAACACAACAAAATACTAGCAAATCCACAAGAAAATTCAAATAAACATAAAAGGTATAATTTAAATACAGGTTATTCGTGTGTGTAACTATAGACCAAACTGAATGCCGGGTCCGAATAGCGGCCATAGGGACCCTGGTCCTAAAAGGGACCCTGGTCCTAATAGGGACCCTGGTCCTTATTTTAATTTTCTAGATCTAGAATCTAACTCTATAGTCTATAGTATGAAATACTTAACACAGTTTTACGGTTGTTTTAAAATACCCCTACATTGTTATATTTTACTATATAGATCTAGGTCAAAAAACTATATACTATATGCCATTGTCATTAGCAAACAATTTCAGCATGCCTGATATTTTATCCACCAGCTGTTCGTTTTGTTTCTGCTGTTGTAAAATCCAGACAAAAATTTCAAGTGCAAGTGCCAGATACAGTTGGTCCACCAGAATTTATTAGGACTCATAGGGCACAGTAAGTAAATAATGATGAATAGGTCTGTTAAAAAATAACTAGATCTAAATGTTAAATTATAAGCCTAAATGTATTCTAAACATTTTTAGATCAAATAGTAATAGATCTAGTAGAACAGCAGTTAAGCCTATAATTCAACATAAAAGTAAGATTAACAAATAGAATATTAAACTAGTTTTTTTTTTCTATACCTAAAATGATGTAGCAATCCATTAGTCAAATAAATTGTGTTGTTTTAAATTCTGTCTTAAGTGCGCTTACATGTCTTATGTAAAGAAATTAAAAGCATACTGACATAATATAGCTATAGAAGAAATTAACTGAACATGAGTTGTTTTTTACACAGTCAAAATACTCTTGAGTATTTCACTACATCCCTTGTTTGTTTATGGATTGCTGCAGTTTTCTTCCATCCAGGTAAATTTATTTTGTTTTCTTCAATTGTTTTGTTGTCACGCTTGTGCAGGTGATTAAAATAATGTGTCAAATACAAATTTAAAAAAAAAAATTCTTTCTTCGACTAGTGCCAGCATCACTAGCATACCTTGGATATTTGGTTGGAAGGGAACAATACTTCTGGGGTTATATACAGGAGGCAAATAACAGGTGTGTATCTTCTAATGTTGTAGGGTATCCAGCAGTTAGGTGTGGACTAGGATTTAAACAATAACATTGATCTAGTTAATATCTTCAGCATACCTAAAACATAAGAATTTTAAATAAAAAACAATTTTAAAAAAAAATATTCCAATGCATTTAATATTTATTACATTAGCATTCAAACTGGTATTATAATTGTTACCAGATATCTAACAGCCGATCCCAAGTTAGCAGATAAATTTTATCCATTTTTCAGAAATAAAAAATTTGTTTAAAAAAAATATATTTTTTGCAAAAATTGTAGTAAATTCATGCTAAAAAAACTTTTCTGCCTTTCATTATTCTAGGATACCAGGCTTCTATGTTGGTATTAAATTCCTGACGGCTCTCTTTGCGATGTGTATAGTTGGTGTTTTACACAAGCTACTGCGCTATTATTTTTACTTTGATTTTTGGCAAAAATGTCTTTTTTTTGCTGGTGTCTCAAATGATGAACTGTAAATGGTTATTTGTTACATTTTTATAACTTTTCTCATTGTGCATTATTGTTAATACCAATACATTCTAGGCATGTTATTTACACAAGATTATAATTTAAATAAAATAATGCCTTACAAATATGTATATATATGTGTGTTTTATATATCTTATATATATTTTTGTATGGATAACACTAATAAGCCCGTATGACTAAATATTGGGACTTAAAAAATGTAATAAAGTTCTATTTGATTTGAGATGAGCCTTATATACCTTTTTTTTTTTAAATTTGAAATTTAAGTCATAGTTTCTTTATTAAAATATTAAGCTTATATTTGTACCTTCAGTATTAACATGAGTTGAAGGGTTAATAAGGCAGTGTCACAAACCCATTTTTAACAGGGTAGTCAGAACTCAGCGCCCCCACTGCCTCGCAATAAGACAGCTGTTTTATGTTAAGTTACAGCCATTATTGACAGTGCTTGTATATAATTGTATATTGACATATACATATATACACATATGCACAGATAAACACACAAACATGCATGTACACACATCAAAGTACACATGCACCAAGGTGACACATATAGGAGCCTACACAGATAAGTGCATCTCCAATGCAATGATAGTTAAATTTAAATCTAATTTGTTAATTAGTCATTTAGATTTAATTAAAGTTAATTAAATAAATTGTCAAAATGGAATATTTCCAATATAGAGAACTTTAACTATCACACACATGCTGCTGACAAATCCTTGAACCAAACCCCTGGCAGATAGTTTTAGATCTACATACTAGGACATAGGTTCTCTAACATTTTCCAGTAGCAACAGCTTTTGTAAAAGCTAAGTGACCTTCGACCCCTAGATGAAAGTGTGGTTCAGCATTAGACTTAGGTTGTTGGATGAAACTGGTAGTTGCTGACAAAATCCTACCTACATCACTAGATGTAATTTGTACCAGTGACAAAATCCTACCTACATCACTAGATGTAATTTGTACCAGTGACAAAATCCTACCTACATCACTAGATGTAATTTGTACCAGTGACAAAATCCTACCTACATCACTAGATGTAATTTGTACCAGTGACAAAATCCTACCTACATCACTAGATGTAATTTGTACCAGTGACAAAATCCTACCTACATCACTAGATGTAATTTGTACCAGTGACAAAATCCTACCTACATCACTAGATGTAATTTGTACCAGTGACAAAATCCTACCTACATCACTAGATGTAATTTGTACCAGTGACAAAATCCTACCTACATCACTAGATGTAATTTGTACCAGTGACAAAATCCTACCTACATCACTAGATGTAATTTGTACCAGTGACAAAATCCTACCTACATCACTAGATGTAATTTGTACCAGTGACAAAATCCTACCTGCATTACTAGATGTAATTTGTAAACCCTTGTATAATTTTGTTAAGCTGCTTGTCTTGTATGTTCATGTGCTTTCACCTACTGATTTGCTTATGAATACTGATGTAATTTTCAGAGCCTAATTATTTTGAACTACCAACACCCCTACCTCCAACTTTAAGCTTTACAATTAGATGTACTGTATGCCAACAGAAATATACATGTAGACAGTTTAACTTTATAGTATAGCCATATCTACTCATTATTTACTTTCAGAAATATTCTACATTATTAGATAAAAAGGGAAAGAACTCTTTTGAACCTTATGGTCAACAGGAAGTAGAGATCACCTGTTTCAGTGACTTTGGTATGTGAATGGATAGTGTGGTCAGCATTATGCCCAGCCCCCTTTTACTTGTGAGTCATCAAGAGTTGAAGAATTTGAGACAAAAACCTGCAACACTTTGAACAAATCTTTGACAGTGTTGACAATGTCTGTCAGTCCGTCAGTTTGTGACCACTTTGTAACCCAGTGCTCACCCATCTTTTGTGGGACTAAATCTTTCACAAATCCAACGGCAATGTAACAATGTTTAAATTTCCCTGCAATTTTTTGTAAGCTAGTCATTAAGATTTAAGTAAAGTTTATTTAATATAAATGACAAAATGGAAATAACAAAGTGGTAGAGGCTACTTAAAATATCACCACACATGTTGCTACAAATGTATGAAAACAATAGCAGAGATATTTAGATCTAAATCTAATCTACATACTGGGATCGAGACATGGGAGCAGAGAGAGGGCATAATCGTTTGAGTGAACAGATTTGTATCTCACGCTACGATGTTTTCAGGGTTTGGATCTTGTCTACAACTATCATCGACCCATCTTTCTGCGTGTATTACTTAGTGGCGTCACTAGGTCGGGTGTCACACGGTGAGTTAACAGAGCCTCTGTCAGAGGTTATTATCTCCCCCCCCCCCCCCCGCTCTCCAACAACGTTGCATTTTCGGTTTGGTGTTAGCCCTCTACTGCTAATTTATTAATTAAACATGACAAAACATTGTTTTGGCAATTTATATTTTTCGATTTGGATTCACCACTAAAATGATGCCCCCCCTCCCGCCCCCCCCCCCCCCCCCCCCCAGTGTGATGCTACTTATGGATGTTACGACAGTCAGCGTTTTTGGCAAAACTCGAAGGTTAGAGCCATCAATCCTCTTTGTGGGCTGACGGGCACGTACGACATAAGTTAATCACTTTAACAAAACAACACTATCTCTGTAGCGAATCGTTCCTCCATGTTGTTCTTATATCACCCTGACTGGAGGTGTAGGGTTAGTTACCCACAACACCCTCAGTGGTGTCTTGTGTTGTGGGGTTAGTTCCCAGATCTGAAAGGTGTCTGGTGGTGTAGGAGTTAGTTTCCCACAACACCCGAACGGTGTCTGGTGGTGTAGTGTTAGTTTCCTACAACACCCTGAATGGTGTCTGGTGATGTAGGGCTAGTTTTCCACAACACCCTAAATGGTGTATGTCTAGTTTCCCACAACACCCTGACTGGTGTCTGGTGGTGTAGGGTTAGTTTCCTCACTTTTTCTCATTACCACACTGTATTGGAAGAAAGCTTTGGTGGCGTTGTAACCTCTCTGTACATGAAAAAAAAACAATTTTTGTTATGCTATCAAATTAACATAATTAAATTAAACAAATTAAATTGTATCAAATTAACATCGTTAAGTAATCAAATTAATATAGTTAACAAATGCCTGATAGAAGTAATTTAGATTTTTCCCTCTTAGTACACTAACTGACAGAACATTCGCGCATGTGTCTTGACGTGTTTGTGTCATAGGTTGAAAAGGTAGGGTAAAATCTAATGGCGATTGTATTAAAAAGTCAGATACGCTCTTTACATAGACATGAAGTTGCTACAGAAACAGTTAACTCGATTTTTACAAGCTTTTATTTAGTTTGCAACGTTTGTTTGTGGGTTTGTGGCAAATCTTGTAACTCAATTTTGACCCTATTCTAATGCAGCGATTTCGTTCAAACTTTCCAGATACATTCCACTTTCAAGTCAATACATTAAAAGTCTAGCTATTTAAAAAAAAATTATATGTTTAATTAGTCATTAAAAATTAATTTAAAAGTTTCGAAAATAAGTGGAGATAACAAAATTAAATTAACACACTCAATAGCAGAAGGGGAGATAACTAGCTAGACGCTATCAACCGACCAACCTTGCGAGCTGTGGTTCACGGGAATGTTTCCAATCGCGTATACGATCGATCTAGTGAAAGCTATTAGGGGCAGGTAATAAAGTTTTTGAATGATTTGAAACTAAGGGGGGGGGGGTACAAAAAGTAATTAAGAACTTGCTGTCGTCTTATGGTTAAGGACGGCCGCTTTCACGGAGCAGATAATCTTGAAGATCTTCTTTCTTTCAGATATCGCGAGCTACTAATGGTCTTTTAAAGCAAATGTTTTTAGTCGTGTCGAGTTCATAAAGTAGGAATCACCAAAAAGTAGAAAATAAAACAAATATAAAAAAAACCTTTATAGCAACAAGCTTATTAAATGCACCGAAAATAAGAAAATAAAACTAATTTGCTTTATTTCATAAAAAAATTTGGCCGCTGATGAGATCTTTTACATATCTTAGCGACAAAATTTTTAATGAAAGAAAGCAGATTTTTAAAAATTTTCTCATTTTCAGTGCATTTAAAAGCTTGTTGTTATAAAGATTTTTTAATATTTGTTTTATTACCTGTTGATGTCTCAATAGAAGTCTAATCAATAGCAATTAATTTATTCAAACCATTCAAACGTGTTGTGGCTACAACATGTAACATGTCGGTTCAAACCTGGACTAGATATACGGAGGTCATTGATTGCTAATTATAATATTAATAATTTGGCATTATCAGAGTTCGCTGATTTGGGATTTCAATACATGAGACTCCGCCCGTGTAAAGTGTAAAATTACACCAAAACAAACTTACCGCAACAACAAACTGTCTGTCGGCCTCCTCGAGTTCATAGTCTGATGTCCCCACGTGACCTGTGTTGATACCCACCGTCCTATCCACGTCATCTTCCTGCAAGATTTCAAGAAGTTTGTCTACAACATCACTAACGATGTACAGCTGAGGAAGTCTGTAGACCTCAAGCAAACTGGACACTGCACGGAACCAGGAAAACACTACTTTATCTGCCTTATTCACTGGCAGGTTCGAAGTGTAACGTCACTTCAGAGAAGTTATGGAGCTTCTTAAACACTTATTCTGTCTGACAGTATGTAGGCGTGTACATGATATTGTTTGCTAAAAAGCATAAAGTTAGTTTCAAAACGTAGTCTACTTTAGGGCAAATGGTTAATCACATACATTTAAAAAAAAAAAAACGATGTTCGTATTTGTCTGGTCCTTACAGTAACTTACACTGAAGAACCCAATTATTTTCTTTATATTTAATTGTGAATATGACAGTTATCTTATCGTTGCTCTTATCCCCAATTTTCCAAAACCGATTGTATCAGTGACTTAACCAACACAAATAAAATAACATTCCTAAACCAGTTTTATGCCCAAACTAACAAAAAAAAGTGTCAGTTAAAGTTTTATAGTTTACCCATTCACAAAACAGTGACCCAGCAGTTCTGTAGCCTTAACTGTAGGTCAGAGGCGTAGCGACCCTTCCCGGCGCCCGGGGACAAATTTGCGATTTGCACCCCCCCCCCCACTCGAACTTTTCATTTGCACCCCCCTCAAACTTTCGATTTGCACCCCCCTTCGAACTTTTCATTTGCACTCCCCCCTCAAACTTTCAATTTGGCGCCCCCCTTTAGGTCGGCGCCCGGGGACATATGCCCCCCCCCCGCCCCCCCCCCCTCGCTACGCCTCTGCTGTAGGTTAGAGTTAAAGATAACCCAACAGTGCCCAGTAGTTCTGTAGCCTACACTGAATGTTAAATATCACCCCTACATAAACAGTGACCCAGCAGTCCTGTATGTTTCAACTTACTTACGTTGACAAAAACATATTTCAAATTGGTGAGCAGCGTGTGTTGTAGTGCCGACAAAAATCCGAAGAACGAACGTATCTCTCGTCTGCCGAACCCCTGGAACCGAGTCTGAAAAAATAAGTCGTGGCTTTTTACATGCTCTGGCACTAAAGTTATTTTTAAAACTTTAACTGTGTGGGTTCTAGACGCGACCAGAATTGTATCTCTCTAACCTGCATACGAATGCCTTGCTCCTCAATAAAATGAACAAGTTCCATAAATGCTATCTGCAACGAAAGATTTATAATTATTGAGCCATCTTTAGTGTTGACAAAAGGAAAGCGTCCATTTTTCACTTATCAGGAAATACCTTTTAAAATCACGTGGTTTCTCTCTAATGACGTCTTTTACGAATGTCCCTCACAGACACATGTTGGTCATTATTAAGTACCACGTGACCCAGCAACAGAGGCGTAGCGACCCTTCCCGGCGCCCGGGGACAAACTTTCAATATGGCGCATCCCTCGGGAGTAAATGTTCCATTTGCTGCACCCCCCCCCCCCTCAACTTTTCGATTTGCACCCCCTTAAACTGCAAAAATGCAGCTAAATCGACATTTTAATTTGTTTTTACAACCCATTTTGGCGCCCTCTAAGGTCGGCGACCGGGAACATATGCCCCCCCCCCCCCAATCGCTACGCCTCTGCCCAGCAAGTACTAAATGAGTCAGACCCCCCCCCCCCCCCCCCCGACAAACGTACCCGGCCATTCTTGTCCTTGTCGATCATGTCAAACGCCGCGTCAACATCCACGTCATCACCAAACAGCAGCTGACTGTATTCTGGCGGGAAGTCTTCTGTCTGTTGGTCAGAGGTAACATCACATAATACACTTACATATGGTCAGAGGTAACATCACATAATACACTTACATATGGTCAGAGGTAACATCACATAATACACTTACATATGGTCAGAGGTAACATCACATAATACACTTACATATGGTAAGTACAGGTAACCTCACATAATACACTTACATATGGTCAGAGGTAACCTCACATAATACACTTACATATGGTCAGAGGTAACCTCACATAATACACTTACATATGGTCAGAGGTAACCTCACATAATACACTTACATATGGTCAGAGGTAACCTCACATAATACACTTACATATGGTCAGAGGTAACCTCACATAATACACTTACATATGGTCAGAGGTAACCTCACATAATACACTTACATATGGTCAGAGGTAACCTCACATAATACACTTACATATGGTCAGAGGTAACCTCACATAATACACTTACATATGGTCAGAGGTAACCTCACATAATACACTTACATATGGTCAGAGGTAACTTCACATAATACACTTACATATGGTCAGAGGTAACCTCACATAATACACTTACATATGGTCAGAGGTAACCTCACATAATACACTTACATATGGTCAGAGGTAACCTCACATAATACACTTACATATGGTCAGAGGTAACCTCACATAATACACTTACATATGGTAAGTACAGGTAACCTCACATAATACACTTACATATGGTCAGAGGTAACCTCACATAATACACTTACATATGGTAAGTACAGGTAACCTCACATAATACACTTACATATGGTCAGAGGTAACCTCACATAATACACTTACATATGGTCAGAGGTAACCTCACATAATACACTTACATATGGTAAGTTCAGGTAACCTCATATAATACACTTACATATGGTAAGTACAGGTAACCTCACATAATACACTTACATATGGTAAGTACAGGTAACCTCACATAATACACTTACATATGGTAAGTACAGGTAACCTCACATAATACACTTACATATGGTAAGTACAGGTAACCTCATATAATACACTTACATATGGTAAGTACAGGTAACCTCACATAATACACTTACTTATGGTAAGTACAGTTAATCTCACATAATACACTTACATATGGTAAGTACAGGTAACCTCAGATAATACACTTACATATGGTAAGTACAGGTAACCTCACATAATACACTTACATATGGTAAGTACAGGAAACCTCACATAATACACTTACATATGGTGAGTACAGGTAACCTCACATAATACGCTTACATATGGTAAGTACAGGTAACCTCACATAATACACTTACATATGGTCAGAGGTAACCTCAGATAATACACTTACATATGGTAAGTACAGGTAACCTCACATAATACACTTACATATGATCAGAGGTAACCTCACATAATACGCTTACATATGGTAAGTACAGGTAACCTCACATAATACACTTACATATGGTAAGTACAGGTAACCTCACATAATACACTTACATATGGTAAGTAAAGCTAAATACAGATGTGCTATTACCCATATATACATGGAAAAAAAGAGTTACTCAGCTTTAAGATTATATATTTAAAAAGCGAAGACCAAATAATTCGATAAGAAAACACTATATATTAATTGTAGAGAAATCTCACATAATACACATTTCTCCTGAAATCTCATATAATACACAATTGTCCTGAAATCTCACATAATACACATTTGTCCTGAAATCTCACATAATACACATTTGTCCTGAAATCTCACATATTAAATAGACTTACATCATTTAAGGCGTTCTCTAATTCCGTCTTGTCGATAAACTCATGCTCGTCTATATTGTGTTTGTCCAGGACCTGGTTATATATATATATATATATATATATATATATATATATATATATATATATATATATATATATATATATATATATATATATATATATATATAACAGTTTAGTTATAATTTACTAAGCAGATAAAATTTGATTTTTTAAAATTAGCCTTTGTCAATGGTTGAAAATTCTTCGCCATTTCCGTTATTTTTGCTTTTAGTGTTTTAAAATAAAATTCTCTGTAAATATATTTTTATTTTCTATTTGCACCTTGATTGTTATTATAATTAGCTACAGGCAATTAGTGAAATCGTATTGACCTTCACATCAGTTAATGTGTAATGATCATTGATTAAATCATTTGTAGTTGATTACTTAATGTGTAGGCTTCATAATGTTACTTTAATCAACTGTAATCAATTAGTTAATGAGTAGGCTACTAGCCTTCATATTGATAATTTAATCAGCTTTAGTTAATGAGTTAATGAGTAGGCTACTAACCCATATTGTTACTTTAATCAGCTGTAGTTAATTAGTTAATGAGTAGGCTACTGACCTTCATGAAAGCCTCAACAGCTCTCACGAGCTTCTGATGTTCCATTTCCGCTTTCTGCTGGATTTTCTTTTTTCTGCACTTATCACTGTTGTACCCATTGTGTAAGAAAAGGGAAAACATTCATAAAGTGTAACATAATTTAGTAATTTAGCTGCTCTTTCAATCATAGAACACTCTACGGACTAAAAACTCTATAACCTCAATGATAGAACACTCTCTTAAAACTCTATAACCTCCATCATATAACACTCTTAAAACTCTATAACCTCCATCATATAACACTCTTAAAACTCTATAACCTCCATCATATAACACTCTTAAAACTCTATAACCTCCATCATAGAACACTCACGTAAACAGTTTTGTTCTAGCCGAGGGTTCCGATGGTACAAGGGAACCTTTCCGCCTCTCTAGACTGTACCTCATAACTTCCTTCTCAGTGTCGTCGTACTAGTAGGGCAATGTAAGATCAATAATTATTTGTTTTCAAACTCTTTCAAATTTTGAATAAACGTTTGCCGTTATTTAGGTGATGTATATATATATATATATATATATATATATATATATATATATATATATATATATATATATATATATATATATATATATATATATATATATATATATCTTATCCTGTTCCTGTCCAAGACATGAGGGGCAGATGAAGTAGAGTTCATCTTTTTTAATGAGCTTGCCATACAGGGGGATAGTGTGGTCAGCACTATTCCCAGCAGCCATTGTTTCCTGAACGATAGTCAGGTACCCATAAGAACTGAGTGGGGCTCATGCACGACCTACAGACTCGAGCACTGTACCCGAACTTAAGACTTTCTGGCTCGCAGTCGTAAGCTCAACTATTCCACCACTCAGCCTATAGGCCTATATATATCCTATACAATTTTGTATTGCAAAATTGAGGTTTAAGAAAATTATTTAGGTTGCAGTCGTTATTAAAGAAATGAGCATTTTAAAAGTTACGTTTAAGTTTAAATAGTTTTTTTTTTAAATCGCTAAATATTGTTGAACTAAAAACCAAAAAATAAAGGTAAACGAATAATTCTGACCAATAAGAATCCGAGTGTTTTGTCATTTCGTGGCATAAATCTCTGGGACATGATGAAGGGGAGATCATGCAATGACTTCATCTTCTGTAGGAAGGAGTGCTCTTTGCCCATGGACAGATACCAACCTGACAGGTAGGCAGTGGTTTTACTTTCGTTTCTTATCAGATGTTGTATACTTAGTACGGCATAGTAGTACGTGTGGTGATTTAGTCAATTTTAGTGTGTAAGGTGATTTAGTCAATGACTTATTTTAGTGTGTAAGGTAATTTAGACATTGTGTTATTTTAGTGTGTAAGGTAATTTAGACATTCTTGTGGTGAAGTCAGTGAGTTTTTAAGTAAAATAGAACTAAAGAAAGTATGAAGCAAAACATGTAATCGTTTCAGCAGTAACTATTTTTGTGTAATGTGTGTCTAAATATAGCTGTTGCTTACATGCACGACGATTTGCCGTCAAAACAATGTGTAAGTGTCTAAATATAGCTGTAGGTTATATGTATGAAGCTTTACCGCCAAAAAAATGTGTCTAAATATAGCTGTTGGTTATATGTATGTTGCTTTACCGTCAAAACAATCCGTGTCTAAATATAGCTGTTGGTTATATGTATGAAGCTTTACCGTCAAAACAATACGTGTCTAAATATAGCTGTTGGTTATATGTATGAAGCTTTACCGTCAAAACAATGTGTCTAAATATAGCTGTTGGTTAAATGTATGAAGCTTTACCGTCAAAACAATGTGACTAAATATAGCTGTTGTTTATATGTATGAAGCTTTACCGTCAAAACAATGTGTCTAAATATAGCTGTTGGTTATATGTATGAAGCTTTACCGTCAAAACAATCCGTGTCTAAATATAGCTGTTGGTTAAATGTATGAAGCTTTACCGTCAAAACAATGTGACTAAATATAGCTGTTGTTTATATGTATGAAGCTTTACCGTCAAAACAATGTGTCTAAATATAGCTGTTGGTTAAATTATGAAGCTTTACCTCAAAACAATGTGACTAAATATAGCTGTTGTTTATATGTATGAAGCTTTACCGTCAAAACAATGTGTCTAAATATAGCTGTTGGTTATATGTATGAAGCTTTACCGTCAAAACAATCCGTGTCTAAATATAGCTGTTGGTTAAATGTATGAAGCTTTACAGTCAAAACAATACGTGTCTAAATATAGCTGTTGGTTATATGTACGAGGCTTTACCGTCAAAACAATGTGTCTAAATATAGCTGTTGGTTATATGTATGAAGCTTTACCGTCAAAACAATGTGTAAGTGTCTAAATATAGCTGTTGGTTATATGTATGAAGCTTTACCGTCAAAACAATGTGTCTAAATATAGCTGTTGGTTATATGTATGAAGCTTTACCGTCAAAACAATGTGTCTAAATATAGCTGTTGGATATATGTATGAAGCTTTACCGTCAAAACAATCCGTGTCTAAATATAGCTGTTGGTTATATGTATTAAGCTTTACCGTCAAAACAATGTGTCTAAATATAGCTGTTAGTTATATGTATGAAGCTTTACCGTCAAAACAATCCGTGTCTAAATATAGCTGTTGGTTATATGTATGAAGCTTTACCGTCAAAACAATCCGTGTCTAAATATAGCTGTTGGTTATATGTATGAAGCTTTACCGTCAAAACAATGTGTCTAAATATAGCTGTTGGTTATATGTATGAAGCTTTACCGTCAAAACAATCCGTGTCTAAATATAGCTGTTGGTTATATGTATGAAGCTTTACCGTCAAAACAATCCGTGTCTAAATATAGCTGTTGGTTATATGTATGAAGCTTTACCGTCAAAACAATCCGTGTCTAAATATAGCTGTTGGTTATATGTACGAGGCTTTACCGTCAAAACAACCCGAGTCTAAATATAGCTGTTGGTTATATGTATGAAGCTTTACCGTCAAAACAATGTGTCTAAATATAGCTGTTGGTTATATGTATGAAACTTTACCGTCAAAACAATGTCTAAATATAGCTGTTGGTTATATGTATGAAGCTTTACCGTCAAAACAATCCGTGTCTAAATATAGCTGTTGGTTATATGTATGAAGCTTTACCGTCAAAACAATCCGTGTCTAAATATAGCTGTTGGTTATATGTATGAAGCTTTACCGTCAAAACAATGTGTCTAAATATAGCTGTTGGTTATATGTATGAAGCTTTACCGTCAAAACAATCCGTGTCTAAATATAGCTGTTGGTTATATGTATGAAGCTTTACCGTCAAAACAATCCGTGTCTAAATATAGCTGTTGGTTATATGTACGAGGCTTTACCGTCAAAACAATGTGTCTAAATATAGCTGTTGGTTATATGTATGAAGCTTTACCGTCAAAACAATGTGTCTAAATATAGCTGTTGGTTATATGTATGAAGCTTTACCGTCAAAACAATCCGTGTCTAAATATAGCTGTTGGTTATATGTACGAGGCTTTACCGTCAAAACAATGTTTCTAAATATAGCTGTTGGTTATATGTATGAAGCTTTACCGTCAAAACAATCCGTGTCTAAATATAGCTGTTGGTTATATGTACGAGGCTTTACCGTCAAAACAATCTATATATATATAATTCTCCTCTTCGAGCCGTTAGAAAACAAGCTGCAAACGCTCTCCCTACCTCCCCACCCCTACATGGTTTTAGTGAGCTGTGTTCACTCTAAATGTTTACAAGCAGAGCCAACGATTTTAAACGTGGGGGGGGGGGGGGGGGGGTGGGGTGGGGGAGGAAGGGGGGTGGGTTATGGTCCTTAACGAGCTACTTATAGTGTTTTAAAGACATATTTTCAGTGGCAGCATTGGTACTGTCGAATTCACAAATTATGAATTACTGAAAAGTAGAAAAAAACAACTAAATAGCGGCGTATGTTATGCCGCGGGCCGGCTCGTGTGTCTAAATATAGCTGTTGGTTATATGTATGAAGCTTTACCGTCAAAACAATACGTGTCTAAATATAGCTATTGGTTAAATGTACGAGGCTTTACCGTCAAAACAATGTGTCTAAATATAGCTGTTGGTTATATATGTATGAAGCTTTATCGTCAAAACAATGTGTCTAAATATAGCTGTTGGTTATATATGTATGAAGCTTTACCGTCAAAACAATGTGTCTAAATATAGCTGTTGGTTATATATGTATGAAGCTTTACCGTCAAAACAATGTGTCTAAATATAGCTGTTGCTTATATGCTCGAAGCTTTACCGTCAAAACAATGGATGGGGTAGTTACACAACACTCCGCCATCAACGTATGTGTCTAACTCTCCGTGGTTGTCATAGCGACGAGGTGAGAACACGCCTGTTTATAAACAACATATATGTTAGCTAATTTACCAGCACACGTGTAAGCTAATTTATCAACACACGTGTAAGCTTATTTACCAGCACACGTGTAAGGTAATTTACCAGCACACGTGTAAGGTAATTTACCAACACACGTGTAAGCTAATTTATCAACACACGTGTAAGGTAATTTACCAGCACACGTGTAAGGTAATTTATCAGCACACGTTTAATGTAATTTACCAACACACGTGTAAGATAATTTACCAACACACGTGTAAGGTAATTTACCAACACACGTGTAAGGTAATTTACCAACACACGTGTAAGGTAATTTATCAACACACATGTAAGGTAATTTACCAGCACACGTGTAAGGTAATTTACCAACACACGTGTAAGGTAATTTATCAACACACGTGTAAGGTAATTTACCAGCACACGTGTAAGGTAATTTATCAGCACACGTTTAATGTAATTTACCAACAATGTTAGCTAATTAACAAAAAAAAAACAACCTCAAAATTAATAACCAACTCAACCTTTAACCAAGTAATTTAGATCGTAATCAAACCGCAAGCATGTAGGTTAATGACCATGACTGTTAACAAAACCACAAATCCGTATGGCGTTTAAATATTACAGCTGTCTGCTGTACGCCAATGGTGGTCACAAGAGGTAAAATAAAGAGAGAGCATGTTTCTGGGTGTTTTCAAAAAGTAAGTCGTTTTGCCGCCGAATTATGTTTTGCTTTTGGGACTTCGTGGTCAAGCTGTAGAGCACATGTTCAATATTTTAAAAGTCTCGTGTTCGATTATCGATCGTGTCAATAAGACTGAGCCCACTCAGATCTAATGAGTACCTGAGTAAACCTGAGTGAAGTAATGAGGCTAGTCATTGTGCTGATCACACAACACCTTTCACTCCATACAAACAAAGAATTCTGCACCAGATGCTCATGTATCAGTATCGTACTCACATTTTCTAATGTTTTTTTGTTTCGTTTTTTTCACCCTCAATAAAGACGCGATGGTCAGACTATGTAGAAACATGCACGGCAGGTATAAACCTAGGGTGAGTAAAACAGATCTACCTGGTATAGCCATGGACATGCGCAGAGCTTCTCTTATCGGCATGTCCGGTGTGGTCTTGGGATGGCAGTACTCAACCCGCATGTGATTAAGGTTGGTGACAACCACACACAGCTCCATTTGTTTTTCTCTGTACAGCTGGTAGAAAGGGTTGTGTCGAAAGGGAGGCAAAGTTTGTATCAGTTTCCGTCTTTAGGGGGTCGGGGGGGGGGTCGGTTCAATCAGTCGTCAGTGAAATAGCTTATAGAGTCGCATGTCCTGCTTCTAAATTGTTTTCTGTTGGCACACTTGTTTCATGACTGTTTCTATCTTATGGAGGGAGAAAGTATTCTTAGCCACACCGACGTTGTTCCAAACTATTTAGAACGAATTAAATTTTCTTTCAAAGAATATGTTCTTAGTTTTGTTGTTGTGTGAAATTAATTCTTGTACTGCTTAAGAGGAAGTGTAAAGGCTTAACTAACATAATTCAACGTCCGATCAGCACCATGATGGCTGGTGGGAATCTTACAGTCACACTACCTTTGTACCTACATACTGACGTCATTAAGAGATATGACGGAAGTCTGGGCCCAAACATTAAACTTACGTCATAAAACGTCATGTCCGGGTCGTGTTTGACCCAAATGTTAAACTTACGTCATAAAACGTCATGTCCGGGTCCTGTTTGGCCGACTTGGCTTTGATCTTCTCGCCAAACCAGGTGAGAATCTTTTTCCCAGGATTCCATCCGAACTTCCGCATCAGATTTGGCAGAAGACTCAGGTAACCGCAAGAGTGATCTGTTCAAATTAATTATATGTTTTAGGTAACGGCAAGAATAATCTAGTCAAAAAAATATTATACGTTTTAGGTAACGGCAAGAATAATCTAGTCAAAAAATTATTATATGTTTTGGGTAACGGCAAGAATAATCTAGTCAAATTAATTATACGTTTTAGGTAACGGCAAGAATAATCTAGTCAAATTAATTATACGTTTTAGGTAACCTTTGTGATGAAGTGTCCTACCGAAACGTTTTATATAACAGCAAGGAGGATTGGTTGAAATCAAACTACTAAGATAAATATTTTGGGTAACTGCGTTTTTAATATTGTAATAAATAAGGTAAGTGAAACAATGTTAAGTTAATAACAAACTTGACCGTGAAAAAACTATGTTTATGGTAAGCGAAATAATACAATTTAAAAATCTAATATATCCATATATTAGAATCTGCTAAGAATTCACTCTAAGAAAACTCAAGTCATATACTTGAATCACAATCTTTTCGTCATAGCCAACAAATTTGGTTCTGCTTTAATAATTTTGAGTTAATTACTGTTTTTAACTCTCATCTTTAATAGAAAAAGCTATTTTTTTCTTTAAAATCGTCTACATTTATCAATTTAATTTGAGAGATAAAACATAAATGGTTATTGTTTTTTTTTTAAAATTGTATTTCGTATCGAATTTGAAAACTAAAGTAATCAAAACAATTTTAGTTTATACAAGTTGATACGAACCCAAAAAGACGCTTTTAATGTCGAGGGATAAAAACCCTTCCACGTCATCAGCTGTGTAACCCAGGGCAACCAGAGCAGCAGTGATCGCCCCTGCGCTGCTCCCTGCAACTCGTTTGATTTCCCCCAACATTTGAAGCTCTTCTAAATACTTTTAAACGTGGAAACATTTCAATTAAAACATGCGATGGAAGCTCTTCTAAATAAACTAGGCATGCTGCCCAGCTTCGCTTAGGCCAGGGGTTCTCAACCTTTTTTTACTCTAGAGCACATTCTAAAATATCGGTAGGGTGGCGGGCACCACCTATTTTAAATCGACAAACTCCTTCCAGAGGCGTAGCGACCCTTCCCGTCACCCGGGGACAAAACTTTCGATTTGCACCTCCCCCCCCCCCCCGCCCCATGGCGCCCGCGGGCACGGGGTTGGGAACCCCTGGCTTAGGCTTTCGAAAACATTGAGAATTTGAATGCTTAATTAATTCGCCCATATAAGGCGCCGGTCAGTCGAGGTCAGTTTTGACCCCCTCATCGTAGACTTTTCGGCCAACCGGCCCCCGTGTTCTGTCGCCCCAAGGCAAGATCCTGCCAAATTTGAAGCGCCTGCGGCGCCGGGAAGTGCCCTATCGGGCACCCGACAACTTAGCTTTATAGATCATCTAGATCTAGATGTAGAATCTCTAGATCTATATGATCTAGAATCTCTAGATCTAGATGATCTAGAATATCTAGATCTAGATCAATATCTAGATCTAGAATCTCTAGATCTAGAATCCAAATAGATAAAAAAAAATTTAAGTTTAGGCCGAGAAAATCGTATTGTATACATTTCATAGCGTACATAGATCTAGCTCTAAATCATATTTGAATGAAATAGTTCACTTTTTAAAATTCTAATCTCGGAAGATGACGTCATCAGTTTCGTGCTCTTTTTTTAGTGTAAACAATAAGCGACGTCATTGTTAATTGCGTTCTTGCCCCAAGTTTAAATACTGTTCCGGTTGCATAAATAATACTGTTTCTATACATTCGAATACGCGTTTATTTTTTATTTTTCTTCTTTAAATAAAATTGTTGTTATACATTTAAAACATCTAACATATTATTTTCAACAAAAGTCCGTATAAAAGTATCCATATATCGCTGCCGATTCTGACGTGATGTCCGGCGAAAATATTTTGCGGACAGACAGAGAGAAGAGCGCACACAGCCTTTTATATATTAGGATATGAAAACTTTTCATGGTAAATTAAAACACGCAATGGGGGCTCTTCTAAAAACTTTAAAAATATAAATATTTAAATTAAAACAGGAAAACTGAAGCTATTGTAAACATTTTCCCACGTGGACAAACATCTAAGCCAAATTAAAAAGACTTCACGAAGCAGCTCTTCTAAATGCATGAAAAAATTCGGAGCCAATTAAAATACGACTAATTAATGGACGTTTACCTGATTCATTTAAAACGTAAAAAAAATAGGACATTTACAACAGGCCACTTCATCGGTTCTCTATCTGATTCAACAAGGTTTCCATACAACAATAAAACCATCCATGAGTTTTTTTTGTCTCAAGCGATTCACACCGTAAAACTGCTAGAGTAGTTACATTTGTTTAGCTGTTAGTGACACATTCGTCACACTGACAGACGGCGTGTCACACTTGTCACAATACGCGTCAGACCGGCTGTCTAGATTGTTTTGGTAACGTTCATTAAAGACAATCAGAAACGTCAGAGACTACTTGGTTGGTGTGTGAGTTCAGGTGTGTGAGTTCAGGTGTGTGAGTTCAGGTGTGTGAGTACAGGTGTGTGAGTTTAGGTGTGTGAGTTTAGGTGTGTGAGTTCAGGTGTGTGAGTTCAGGTGTGTGAGTTCAGGTGTGTGAGTTCTGGTGTGTGAGTTCAAGTGTTTGAGTTCAGGTGTGTGAGTTCAGGTGTGTGAGTTCAGGTGTGTGAGTTCAGGTGTGTGAGTTCAGGTGTGTGAGTTCAGGTGTGTGAGTTCAGGTGTGTGAGTTCAGGTGTGTGAGCGTCAAGGTCGCAATGTGTGACGTAAAGAAAGGACTTTAGGGGTGAGCGAGGTCGCAATGTGTGACGTAACGAAAGGATGTCATGGGTGAGCTTTGAGACAGTGTTTTGTTCTGCCCACTTACGGTGGACCCTCACGTTACAGAACAGTGCTGTCCTGTTGTATCATTTATCATGATAGCAAATGATGCGAGTATTGTTTCTTTTGGAAACATACCTCTTTTAAACTTAGGTAAGCAATTGTATTGCTATATAGAAGAAACACAGTCACTATACCAGGAATTCGGGCTATCACTTGTGGGTCCAGAAAAATAAAAACCAACGCGAATATGAATTACAAAAGTCAGTTGTTGTTTATTGCCCCAAAGGATTATTGTTTCTATGTACGTATGTCTATCTCTATCCTTATATATCCTCAACCTCTATCCTTATATCCTTATATATATATATATATTTATTTATACATACATATATATATATATATATATATATATATATATATATATATATATATATATATATATATATATATATATATATATATATATATATATATACACACATATATATATATATATATACATATATATATATATATATATATATATATATATATATATATATATATATATATATATATATATATATATATATATATATATATATATACACACATATATATATATATATATATAATATATATATATATATATATATATATATATTATATATATATATATATATATATATATATATATATATATATATATATAATAAATATATATACATATACATATACATATATATATATATATATATATATATATATATATATATATATATATATATATATATATATATATATATATATATATATATATATATATATATATATATTCGTGTGTGTATGTATATGTATATTTATTCAGTAATTGGCGTGTATCTTACCTTTAAGCAGCCCACGTACGCCAGTCCCTTATTGCCACCCCCCTCAAAAACCA